GGTGCCGTGATGTGGCTCTGTGGCTTACGTATGTATTTGCAAATGTGTGCTAACTAAACCCCTGTTTTTAAACGCATGTTCTTAGACAGGTAAATTTGGTTTTTGATAGTTGGTTAACTGGCTGGCAGTTTGGACTGGCTTTCTTATCCCCCTCTTTTGATAAGTTATACTTATCTATGTTCCTTGCCGACAATAGCCATTATTAGACTGGGGTAGGCTGGCAAGTTGAACTGGATAGTCCTATTTTTTACTTTGTGACGCCTTCCATGTTCATGTTTAAAAAAAACAGTTATAGACCTGGGTAAGTGACCAGTTTTTTCTTAGAATGAATGCAGGGTCCTGGGTTTAGTAATATTTTAAGGGCTTGTTCACACTTGACTGTTTTACCAACTCTTGCCAAACGCCCCTATAGCGTTTGGCAAGCGTTGGTCCGGCGTTTGCAGAGCGTTTAACGCTCGGCAAACGCCGCATGCGCAGTTCAGCGGCGGTTGCTAGGCGTTTGCCGAGCATTAAAAATGCCCTACAAACGCCTATAATGAAGTTTGAATGGTGTTACTGCTCCGCAAACGCCCCGCAACCGCACCGCAAACGCCGGCCGGGCATTTGCGGAGCGGCACCATAGACTAGAATAGGAGGCTTCAACACCTCCTGACTCGACCAGAGGCATCCATTTTGCCGCGACGTTAACACTCCGTTAGAACAGCACCATGTGCTGCAATGTGCAGAATTGTCCGAGGCGTTTGGGAAGCGGTAAAAACGCTTTTCTGCCGCCTTTCTGCCGCCTGCACACAACGCTAGTGTGAACGTAGCCTAAGTTCTTCAATATTTCAAGTCTGCTACTCACTTGTGATAATGACTCAATATATCCCATGCATTTACAGTTGGGAGTAGATCAAGAGACCTGAAAATCCAGGCCATTGTATCATTTTTGTTCACTGTTCTGTGACAATACAAGGCCAGGTATTATCTGCTGCTAAATTCCATTTACATTTTGCTGATTTGTGAAAAGACAACACCCTGACACACTGGCAGGCCATCATGAAGGCTGTGTTGTGTATCAGATGGCCTGTAAACAATACCCAAAGACCAAGTGTAGTATTCCACAATCACTGATGGGTCAGCTCTTTCTTTACTGTTCTTTGAACATCATTTACTAGGATGCAACTCTGCCACTTGATTGCTTCTGGTTATTTCCAGATCAGGAAATCAATGCAGTGCGTTGTTAGAGGTAAACATTACCCTAGGACAGGAGATTGAAGGCCTGCTTGAAGTAAATAATAGATTGCTGGATAAGATGTTGAGACAAAAGATTTGGTCCAGGCATGGGTAATTACTATCTGTCATATATATTTAGTCTTCCTGGCCTTAGGCAGTGCTATGTAATGTAATTAATGAATATGTGATCCCTTACCTTTAAAACAACTCATTCAGTTAATTATGGAGTAAAGCCTAATTAACGCTGGCGCTCCTGTGTTTAGCTTTTCTAGAAGCAGGGAATTATAAACAACATTTATGCACCCCAGATCTCTTTTTCCTGCATTTAGATGTTCCTGGGTTTAGCCACATTTAGCCCTCATGTACACTGAACGTTAGCTGTGTAAAGTCACATTAAAAAAGTGAGTTTTTCAGTTTTTTCTTTAGCATTTTTGCATTAGCGTTTAGTGGTGTTTTGCCGTGTTTAGCGGCATTTTCCTGTGTTTTTTCCACGTTTGTGTTTTTTTTAACATTTTTTGGGTCAAAAAAAGTCCAAAAATGCCGGTTTGCGGTGGTTTACAGCGCTTTGCTGCATTTTTCAGCGTTTTTCAGCATTCAAGCATTTTTACAGCTACAAAACTCCTCTAGAAACCCACTAGTCCTAGGTTTTTTTTCCAGCCAAAAAACGTCCCAGCCAAAAACCGTTGATTACAATCTATATGTGCATGGACACATAGGATAACATGCTGGGGGGTTTACTGGCTGTAGAAAAACATGTCAAAAGCCAAAGACAGCAGCTGTAAAAATGTCCAGTGTGCATGAGGACTTATGCAGGCCATACATGGTTCGAATTCCGAACGATTTTTCATCCGAAAATCAAAAACATTGTTCGCTCGGTAATCCGATGGTGCCATCAATGATTTAAAAAAATCGGCCAACCAAGTCATAAAGTTTACTCTATATAACAGGCAAAACTTTTGTTCCTTATATTCTTATTCATATTCTTATATTCATATTCTTTTCGGAAAAATGATCATTGAGTAGAAAATCTGTAGTTTTTTATGAATTTTCCAACATGCTCGATCACCGAAAAGGGGAGGAACCACGAAAATTGGCCAGTGCCATTGACCCACTAACAGAGCGAAAATCGGCCGATTATTCTTAGGTCCGGTTGAATTTCAACCCATGTATGGCTGGCCTTAGAGCTTCTGATCAGATCCTGGACACACAATCAGGAAGCAGTTGGTAGACTGGCTTCTGGTGCACAGGCTTCTGTACACAGGGGCCAAATGTCAGCCATTTTAATTTCAAGCAGCTGATACCGACCGATATTTGGCTCATGTGTACCAGCCTTTAACTGCCAACTTCACCCATCTTAATTTAGATGGTGAGGCCTGATGTGTACTACTAGAAATGAGGATGTGTGTCAGTGGTGGCTTGTGTCCAGCACTCACAGGAAAGCATGGTTTGTAGTGACTGTGAATGTACTCTGCATGTGCATTTGTATGCCGTACGTTAGTTCTTTCTGTGGTCAAGAAAAAGCATATCTTCACTCAGAAAGCTTGTAAAGCAGACATGATGTCACCCTACATGATTAGGAGTCAGATTGCAGTGCTTTTCTTGCAGCCAGACAAGAGTGCAGTGACTGTTACAGATGCACTCTTCTCCATTCTTGCCATTATTCGGCTTCTTCAGATGTTTTATTATAATTTCTTCGTTCCTACATTGGTTTCATTAGCTTTTCCTCATGTCTTCACCTCACTTCTTCCGCTTTCATACAAGTAACCTCAGTTTCCTCACATGCTGATACTATCATCAGCACAAGATAGTCACATTTTAGTAGCTAATAAACAAGCGGAAACCAGTATGAGTGGATATACAGGACAGAGTGGCCTGCAGCCAAGAGCATTCTGTTATGTTGTGTACTGCTTTCTAATTTTTGATGTTTATTGTACTGTGATTCAAATAGTGCTTGGGTGAAGGGATATCACTTGTGGGGTCCTCATGATGAAGAAAGATTCCAGTACATTCTTTTTGCCTAAGCTGGCCATACACATATAGATTATTTCTGGAAAAATCTAATCATAATAAAAATTTAAGATGAATTTACTAGAAGAAATAAACTGTTCAACTAGCTAGATTCAATTATTATTATTATTATTATTATTATACAGTATTTATAAAGCGCCAATAGTTCGCTCAGCGCTGTACATTACAAAGGGGGACAGAACATGTGACAGAACAATACCAATACAATGTGATACACGAGGGGTTCGAGGGCCCTGCTCTTTCGAGCTTACAATCTAGGAGATTAGACTTTTTTCATCAAACGAACAATATTTCTACAGTAGAGGACACAGACGGAGTCTTAGAGGACTGGGTAATATGCAGCAACCTTCAAATTATTGGGCATTCCCAACAATCTTCAGTTTTTTGCTAGTATTCTTGGGTGATAGATGTCTTCTCTTTACTGAGGGAGATTGCTGGTTTCCACTAAATGTTTTCCTACAACATACTCAAGCTTTTAGTGGACTGTCTGTGGGCACTTCTGTATTGGCCAAATCTCTCACCCCAGAGCTGCTCCTGTTTCCTACTTTACTGATGCTGACTTTTTTGATGCGAGGTCCTGAGAGGAAGAGGCCTTTTGGATTCAGTCATTTTAGAGAGTGCCCTGTGGGACATACCCTGTTCTTCCTACAATGTGGTCTGGACCAAAATATGGCCCGGATTACAGTCTAGGGCAGATTTTGGCCTTGGTCATTCTTTTAGAAATTATTGGCCTCTCATTCCTTGGTTAAAGCTTTTTGTTGTCATGCACATTGCTTGCTGCCTCTGTGTGCCACGTGGTGACTTTGCAAAACCTCAGCCCTTGAGCTCCTTGCCCTTCAGAGGGCATCCCTTGAGCCTATTAGGAATACTTAGTTGTCTGTCCTTTCTTGCTCAAAAACATTCCAAGGAAATTCCTCTCCATTGGTTGGATCAATTATGTGTCATGAGGGTCTTCCTCTTGCCTACAGCTTTTGTTGCCCTTGGTTACAGCCTTCAGCAATTGGATTTACTCTTTGTCCTTCCCCAGGGTTCCTGCAAGGGACTCCTTGCCTTTCAATTCTTGCTAATTGGAATACAGGTGTCACCCCTTTGAGCCTGGGCTGTATAGGATAGGGTTCCTCCCTTTGCTCTTTCTGGTCTGTGGGTGTTTCAGAGGCTTTTAAGCATCAGGTATCTGTTTCTTAGATTGCAAGGCTGCATCTTGCAGGCCTTCTTGATGCCAGCTTGGCTGTTGTTTCTTCAAGCTGCTCTTTGAGGTTAGGGCTCTTTAATCAGTTTTTCTTTATCTGCCAGCTTGGTGTTCTTTTGCACTTGCCCACCCTTCAGTTGTATTGATTTTGGTTGTTCCAGTTGTCTCAGACTATGCCTGTGTCCTGTACTTTACTTCATTTGTGAAATCCATTTTTTGGAGTACTGTACAGGACACAGGAACATTTCCTCTGCCTCTTTATCCTCTCATTGCTTGATAAAAAAAAAATGATCATTATTGGGAGTGGGAGGGGTTATATGGGGGTCCTTACAGCTCTGTTTGCCAGTGTCCAGTCGCCTGACGTTGGCTGCATATAACCCAGTCTATGACTATGTCCTGTACTATACTCCCAAGAAACAAATTTTAGGGGAAAGTCAAAAATCCTGTTTTTTTTTCACGAGTTTGTTTAGGTAAGGAAGCAGTGTTTCCTTTGTGGTTGTCTTGGCTTTACAAAAGATTGTGATTACAGATTATCTGCAGGTGAATCCATAAATCAAATTGCCTCTTTCTATTTTTGCAGGTAAACTTCCCTGATGTAGAGAAAGCAGAATGGCTGAACAAGGTAAGAATATTTTTGTTGTAATTTCAGAAATATGAGCCATTAGAATACTGTATAGTATACTGCCAAATAGGGGTCTCTTTTTGAGTGTGGATGGTTAGGGGGTTGCTTGGTATGCTGCCTTGATGCAAAGCTTAACCAGAGTCATTTTTTTTTTTTTATACAGAGTAGAGAAAGTTTCAAATCTCTGTCAGTTTTTTATTTATGTCTGTGACCTCATTGGGTTAATAGATACCGCAATACCCCATTGGGGTAATAGATGGAGATGTTATAATTGGGGCAGGAAAGCATAGACAACAATAAAATTATTTTCTGTTCTAACCCTTCCCCACTCTGCTGTGTTTTTGTACGTGTCCCTACTGCAGAGATTTCACATCACATCCAGTCCCGACAACAAATGAGAGGAAATCTCCTAAATAAGGACACAGATGAAAGTAGAAAGATAATATAGACTCATTAACCCATTCCTTCTCTATACAGAACAATATAGAACCAAAGATTTAGCTTGGGTTTATAAGACAGAAAAGGTCAAGAAATATCCGGAAATATTCTTCTAGACATGCAAACTGTGTTAAAAAAATATTGTACTTTTTTATTTGTTTTTTTTTGCATTTGCAGAACTCTTTGGCCTTGTGTACACTGGACTTTTGTTATCTCTCCTAGACACCTTTCCTCCTGGCAGCAGTGTTTTGGCAGAAAAAAATGCTTTACGCTTGTAATCACATGTAGGCATGTCGAGGGTTAATTCATTTCATTGGCCAGAAGAATCATTTATTGAAATTAATTAGAACTTCAGTGCTAAATGCGCCTAGTATTAACACACGTTTGCAAGTGTGTCAAGTATTTTTTCTGCCAAAATGCAGCTGCTACTGGACTCACTGTCAGTGGGTTTGTTTTTAGTTGAATGCCCCTGCTTCTAAATGCCTATGTGTGTATGGACACATAGGCTAACATGCAGGGCTGTTCAGAGGCAGGAACAAAAAGCTAGACACCTCTCAGAGCAGCGTCAAAAACATCCAGTGTGCTTGAGGCCGTAGAATGAAAAGTGTATGCTTTCCCCGTCGTAGCTAACAAATTCTTCCTCCTTTTATATAGCAGACTAGAAGATCAAAGTCCAGCTGCAGCCATTTTTTTTTTTTAGTTTTGCATAAAGTGTGGGAGTTGAAACTCCTTTGATCCCCTAACTGTGCAAAACCCCCATGCTTATCTATTTAACACCAGGGACCAACCTTTTCTACCCCAATTAGAGAGTGGTTATGTTGCAGACTGTCTCTTTTACAGGGAATTCCTAACACATTCTGTCCCTCTGACTCCCTGTTACCAGAACAGGAGATTAGAAGAACTCTTCCCAGTAGGGTCCCAAGCAGCATTAAAACCCCAATAGGGGTTTCAACCCTCCTCTACTCTATCCAAATTTACAGAATGTTTGTTTTTTGCTGGAGTTGGACTTTATAGCTTAGTAGTAGGCACAAATGTCTCCACTAGTATTCATAAACAAAGACAGCTGTTTTCAGCTCTACATTTTAATTTCAACATATCAAAATATAACTAACAAAGGCTTTATTGTTTGACATCCAATTCTAATTTAGGATACTATGAAACATGAATGGGAATAAGCTATATTCTAATAGTTATATTCTTAATGCAAATGAAAAAGCTCAACTCTGAGAATGCTTGTTTAGTCATAGGACAATAAGTACATTTACTTACCTGACTGTCTGCTCTCAATGCAAATGGCGCTCCTTTACACTCAGGTAGTAGACTGTGCCTCTGCACCCTCGCATCAAGTATAGGGCTATGGGGCCCTGCATTGGTTCTGGCGATGTCAAAGGCAGGGCGATCACTGAAGTGCAGGGGACAAGAGGCTGCACAGACCAGTCTAGCAGTGCAGAGGAACCTGCAGGAGTGGAGGATCAGGTAAATAAACTGCTTAACTTGGTCCCCTAGACATAAACCAGCAGTTAAGCCTTGCAGTATGGGAGCAGCCCCATTGCAAGGGAGGACTTTTACTTTTCCCAGAGTTCAGCTTTAAGCATGAAAGTGAAGAATTGATTATATTCTAAGGACAAGACTAAAATTTTTTCAAATACAACTGGTCCTTAGGCATAAGGTGACAAAATGTATATGATTTGACTTATGTACAACTTTTCTTTTAGCTTGTTGCACAGATGTGGCCCTTTATTGGCCAATACTTAGAGAAGATGTTAACAGACACTATAGCACCATTGGTCCGCTCAAGCAATACTCACCTGTCCACTTTCTATTTTACAAAGATCAACCTTGGTCAAAAGGTAAGAAACCAAAATAGGATTCAGTATTAACAGTGAGGCTATTGGTATTTATATTAAAATATTAAAGCCTAACCTATCTCTGCACAGTCTGAGCATTAGCAGTTTAAAGTACACTCGATATATGGAATGCAGACTTTTTGTGAAACCGACTGTGGTACTCTAGTTGTAGTTGTACAGTGCTGTGTAGAGCAAACTTTCTCAACCAGGGTTTCTCCAGAGGTTGCTAAGGGTTCCTTGAACAATGACCAACTTTCCACTTCTAAGATGAGCAACCATGGACAACAATGATCTTTTTAGCTACCTTGGGGGGGGGGGAGCAGTCTTCCCAGTGACCATCACTCTAAAGCTCTGGATACAGTCATTTATAGCAGAGGTCCTCTGAGCCAGCAACGTTATTTCAAGGGTTCCTCCATGTGAAAAACAGTTGAGAAAGGCTGGTGTAAAGATTTATTAATATACAATTAATAGTTGTTATTTATCAATTAACAGTTTATAAAGTGCCTAAAAAAACTAAACCAAATTAATATTTTGTGTGGCCACCCTTTGCTTTTAAAATGCATCATTTCTCCCAAGTACAATTGCACACTGTTGAGGATTTTGCTGGTAAGATTAAATAATTATATCACATAGTTGCTAATGATCAACAGGATAACATGTTGATTAAATACAATCATTATATCCAGTAGAATCAATTGAATAGGAGGAATGAGACTGGATGGGGAAAAGCTCATGCTCTACTAACAAACTGAGGTTACTGAACACAGTTCAGTGAAAATTTCTTATACAATGGTAAGACCCAGCAGAACAAGACACAGGGTGGTCTTACTGTATCATCAAGGTCTCCCACAGGAAGAAATGTCAAGGAACACAAGTGTTTCCAGATGTGCTGTCCTAGCTTTTCTGCACAATGAAACAGGCAATGTTGAGAACCAAACATGAAGTGGTTGGCCCAGGAAACTTGATGTGGCAGATAAAAGGTACATCATGCTGACTTCCGTTCAAAAGATGTCTAATAGCACTATTAGCTCAGACCTGGCAGAAACCAATTGGATCCTGGTATACCCATCTACATTCAGAGAAGTTGATCAGAAGTGGTCTTCATGGAAGACCTGTGGCTAAAATTCAGAGCACTGATGTGGGAACAAGGCCAAGCAACTGGCCTATTCATGAAAGCACAAAAAGTGGTGTGCGAACAAATGACAGTGGGTACTCTGGAATGATGAGCCTAAATTTGAAATATTTGGCTGTAACATAAAGCAGTTTGTTAGCTAAACATCTAGAGAGAAGTACCACAAATCTTCTAATTCACTGGTCATATTTTGCCTCAACTATCCTCAAAATCCTAGTCTGAATCCACCTAAAAAAGCCCATTAGGAAGCTGACAACTTACTTGGCCAATCATAAGTGGCCAAGGCATTCCCTGCACTACAGCTGCATGTATCCATGCCAATTGTATATATGCGGCTGCAGGGAGGAGAATGCCCCAGCCACAAGATGATTGGCCCAGCTTCCTGGTAGGTTCACTCAGGTGGGTTTGGCTAGGATTGAGATTTGCCCTAGCTCATCACTAATGCTCAAAAGTTCAAGCAAATATCCATCCATTATGCAATATCATCAGGGAAGTGTCTACTCTAATCAGTCCAAATTAATTCTGCAGAGGACAATGACCACAAACATGCAGCCAAAATTATTGAGAATTATCTTCAGTGAAAAGAAGAGCAAGGAGCCCTGGAAGAGATGTTGTTGTTATTATTATTATTATTATACGGGATTTATATACTTCCAATAGTTTGTGCAGTTCTCTACAACATGAGGGCAGACAGTACAGTTACAAAAGAATTCAATATAGGGGGAATTGGAGGACCCTGCTTGTTAGAGCTTACAATCTAAAGGGAGGGTCAAGTAATACAAGAAGGAATAACTGTGGGGGGGGGGGGGAGCTGATGGAAAAAGTGGAAATACAGTTGTTAGGTGGAGGTGGGATATGCGTCTTTGAAGAGACATGTTTTCAGGGATCGCCTAAAAGTGGACAGAGTATGAGATAGCTAGATAGATTGGGGTAGGGAGTTCAAGAGGGTGGGAGAAACTTGAGAAAAGTCCTGGAAGCAAGCATGGGAGGAGGTGACAAGGGAGCAAGAAAGCAGGAGGTCTGGGGAAGAACAAAGAGAACAATTTGGTTGGTATTTTGAGACTAGGTTAGTGATGTAGCTGGGGGCAGAATTGACAATGGCTTTGTAAGTTATTCTTAGTATTTTGAATTTAATTTGTTGGGTATTACCCCACAGAGCACTGATCTCAGCATCGCCAAGTTTGCCTGGGATTACATGAGGAGACAGAAGCAACACAGCCTAAATCCACTGAAGAGCTGTGGTAGTTCTAGATGTTTTGAACAACCTTACTTACCTGGTTCCTTAAACACTGTGCAAGTGTACACAATACTGATGTTGTTTTAAAGTGGAAATGAAATCCAAAATGCTCAGCTTCAACCGTCTGGCACCTGCGAGGTCCCTCACTGGTGCTGGCATTGTTTCCCAGGCTTTTTCCATGTACTGGTCTTTGGCCATCTTGATTGGCTGGCTCAGGATGATGTCGCTCCAGTGCATGCGCAGGAATGCACACAGGCTCTGTCCTGAAATGTACATTGAGCTATGCTTGCGCAGCTCAGTGTACATTCCACAGAAGACTGTGAGCAGACAGGTAGGTTTATTTTATTGCAGAAGAGACATTGCATGTCTCTCCTGAAATAAAGAGCCTGCTTGCTCCAAGTATTTTTTTTTATTTTAGAATTTAGTTCCACTTGGCTTACCTAATATTGATTTTATTTAGAATTTTTTGTTTATGCGCTTTGTAGCCTGTTAATTGATACATAAAACTGTTCATTTTTAAAAGCATTTTTACATTACATAATTTTTTTCAGAGTGTCTAAAATGAATGCAAAGTATTGTATTTATACAAGGGGACTTGAGGTATTACTTTTAGTTAGTGTTTTTTCAGTGTAGGACCTCCGGTTTACCTTCCCTGACATCCTCCTTATGCTGTGTATAAATAGTCAGATTTTATAGAACATTTCCAAGGACAGTGTATGCCAGTCAGGCGGCATTTGGCCTTGCAGTGTCCAAGGAGGAAGTAAATCAAGGCAACACTACATTCTTAGACTGTTTATTATTCATGAACTTTACATTTTATGATCAAAATGTTCTCAAAACAATACTAATCATTGTGCCTACAGCAACCAAAGCAGTTTTTTCTTTCATGTTTCTATTGTGGTGCAGGTGAGTGGAGAGAGCAGTCTTCATTGCACCAACAAAGACCAGCTGCTCATTTCAAAATGTTGACATGAATCCTAGTATATTTATTAATCTACTTCAGCCTCTTATGTGTTTTTAAAAATGGTTATTTCTGATACATTGCTTAGAATGGGAATACATACCTTTTTGATTTACTTATGTCTACAATTTTGCTTAAACTCGTATTAAATCCAAAAACAAAAATGCAATGTATTGCTACTTACCAGTTCTTAGATATGGGGGCTGCATTAAAAGAGAAGTTCGGGATTTAAAAAAAACAAACATACAGTTGTGTTCAAAATAATAGCAGTCAGACATCACTAACCTGATCAATCACTGTTTTTGGTAGAAATGATATTTCTACATGGCAAATAATTTACTAGCAGGTGTAGTAGAGTAATAGAAATCCAACAGACCCAACAGTCATGACATGCATGCTGCTGATTCTGTGTAATTGAATCACTAATTGAAAGGGGCATGTTCAAAATAATAGCAGTGTGGAGTTCTATTAGTGAGGTCATTCATTCTTTGAAAAACAGGTGGCAATTATTGCCCTTATTTAACCCCCCTGGCGGTATTCCCAAGTGTAGCTCAGGGTAAAGTTTCAGTACCAAAAGCGGTAACCCCGAGCTACACTCGGGAATACCTTGCGGCGCTGCTCCGCGATCCCTCGATCACTTACCTTGTTCTGCGCTCCCGCGATGTCCCTCCTGCAGTGTCCCCGGCAATGTAATCCGGCGGATGCCGGCATCTGTCATCTGGGTTCCGTCCCCTGCGAGCGTCGGGACGTACGGGGGACGGAACAGCGGGAAATTTGAAAATGACAAAAAGTGACATTCACTAAATACACTAAAATCACATAGTAAAACATTACTGTATCAAACCATTTCACATACATTTTGTCCCGAGTGCTTTGTCCGGCGTCCTGCCTGCATTTTTACTGTTCTTTCTGCCTGGAAACTGAGAAACGTACATGGCGTCCAAAAAGTGTCCCTTTAGGTCAAAATCGGTTTTAGACCAGCTAGAGAACAGTGATAGTAAATCAGAACTACTTGCAGAATTGAGTGATAATGATTCGTGGGGAAATTTGCCATCAGACACTGAAAACGATTTTGTGACTTTGCTCAGTGATGTGCGAACTTGGCGCTATATTTCAAATTTCAGTGTTTTTGGTTTGATTATATTATTGAATTAAATTTATTATTCTTGTATTATTTTTTTTTATGGATTATTTATTAAATTATAATTTATGATTTCGTGTTTCAAGTTTTATCATACCCGGAATGTTTACTAGACTCTTGTTCGGACAGATTTCAGTGAGTTATTCCTAAAAATCACAGGCCTACAAAAAAAAAATACATATTTCCATGCAAACAAATGTACCGCTTTGAGCACAGAAATATGGACATAATCAGACCGCTAGGGAGGTTAAGGAAGGAAGGCAGCAAATGTTGTACAAGCTGGTTACAGTGCATTTCTCTCTGAAATTCTGAGGAAAATGGGTCGTTCCAGACATTGTTCAGAAGAACAGCGTACCTTGATTAAAAAGTTGATTGGAGAGGGGAAAAAAATATATAAAGAAGTGCATAAAATGATAGGCTGCTCAGCTAAAATGATTGCAAATGCTTTAAAATGTCAACCAAACCCTGAAAGACGTGGAAGAAAGCGAAAAACTACCATTCGAATGGATAGAAGAATAGCCAAAATGGCAAGGACTCAGCCAACAATCAGCTCCAGGAAGATCAAAGAAGGTCTAAAGTTACCTGTGAGTACTGTTACAATTAGACGCCTATGTGAAGCCAAGCTATCTGCAAGAAGCTCCCGCAAAGTCCCACTGTTGAAAAAAAAAAGACGTGCTGAAGAGGTTACAATTTGCCAAAGAGCACATTGACTGGCCTAAAGAGAAATGGCGCAACATTTTGTGGACTGATGAAAGTAAGATTGTTCTTTTTGGGTCTAGTGGCCGGAGACACTTTTTCAGACGACCCCCAAACACTGAATTCAAGCCACAGTACACTGTGAAGACAGTGAAGCATGGTTGCGCAAGCATCATGATATGGGGATGTTTCTCATACTACGGTGTTGGGCCTATTTATCGCATACCAGGGATCATGGATCAGTTTGAATACATCAGAATACTTGAAGAGGTCATGCTGCCTTATGCTGAAGAGGAAATGCCCTTGAAATGGGTGTTCCAAACAAGACAACGACCCCAAACACACCAGTAAAACGTGCAACATCTTGGTTCCAGACCAACAAGATTGACGTTATGGAGTGGCCAGCCCAATCCCTGGATCTTAATCCAATAGAAAACTTGTGGGGTGACATCAAAAATGCAGTTTCTGAAGCAAAACCAAGAAATAGAGAAGAACTGTGGAATGTAGTCCAATCATCCTGGGCTGGAATACCTGTTCACAGGTGCCAGAAGTTGGTTGACTCCATGCAACACAGATGTACAGCAGTTCTCAGAAACAGTGCTTATACAACTAAATATTCATTAAGTGATTCAAAGGAAAGCAAAATCTTCAAACATTTTTCAGTTTATATAGTGAATGTTTGAGTTTGTAAAGAAGAATACAAACACTGCTATTTTTTTGAACAGTCTAATATTCACTTTTCTTCAATTTGTTTAGAGTAACAACACAAATTTGATATATTTTTCTTCATGTTTTGATTTGGAATAGAATGTGTAGTGTTCCCAATGCATTTGTGTGTATGGAAATAAAAGCTATTAGAAGGATTTTGAGCTTTATTCACATTTTTCAACACACTGCTATTATTTTGAACACAACTGTACATATCACCTACTGTAGGTGGATGCAGCATTGGTCCGATGCTGCATCTGTTCCTTGCCGGCTCTAAGACTGAGAACTGAGTGATCAAAGACTGCTGATTGATCAGTTCTCAGTCTCAAGTGAGCAGAGTCGGTGATTGTTACTGGCTCTCTGCTCTGCCCCTTCAGTGATCACTGGAGTACAGGGCTGTGGAGGGGACAGGAGCCACTGGCTCTCAGCGGCTTGCTGAGAGGCTGAGCCAGCTGCCGGTCCAGGCATCTGGGTGGATCCGGACTTTAAAGTAGGGATCTCTTCAGAGCCTGGACTGGCTCAGTGACATGTGGCAAAATGAAGAGCCCTCCTGTGATCCATAGGGGAAGTAGGGCGAAAAAAAACATTGGGTCTACTTCTCCTTTACAATGGTCAGATTTATTAATTTCTGTAAAACTTTTATCCCAAAAGTTAAACAAAAATTGTTGCTGTAACTTACAATTTGTTCTCTGGAATTTGGCTTCAGCATGTCAGTCAAGTCCATCTAATTCTGCTATTGCATTGACAATGCTGCCGTCCAAAGTGTCTCAGCTGCTCCTCCATCTAGACTGGAGACACCTTTAACCTCTTGCCGTCTGCCTGCTGTTTATAAACGGCAGGGCGGTGGCACTCCAGGGGTGGGTTGCCGTTCATAAACGGCACCCGCTTTTCCTAGCTATGTGCGCTCCCTGGGAGCGTGCACCACCGCGATACGGTGCCCGCTGTGTCCTCCGGACACAGTGAAACACCGATCGTCTGTACGAGGTCCCGATCATGTGATCATCACTGATTGGCGAATCAGTGATCACATGCAAAGTAGTAAGCAAGATGTCACTTGTGACATCATTGCTTACTACGTGTGAAATCTGTGAATGATCACAGAGGTCACATGGTACAAGGCTATTCACAACAGCCTTGTACTATGTGACAAGCTGTGACCAATCACAGCTCACTCAGTATTTCTCAATGACTGCAAGAATGCAGACAGAGAGAAAGAGAAATGATTGCTTTTACATCCTTTATGGGTATAAAAGCAATCAGTGTAAAAAAAAAAAAAAAAATCTTCATCACCCCCCACAAGTAGTAGTGTCACCATGGTGACACTGTACTGCTAGGGTGAAAGTATGTAAAAAATACATAAATAGATAAATAAAAAATAAAAAAAAAAATAAAATAAAAATTAAAAAAAAAAAATGTTTAAAAATTATAATTTTTGGTTATAAACAAATTTTGATTTTTTTTTTTTTTACTAAAAAAATAACAAATAAAATTTGGCCAAGATTTATGATGAAATATTATTTATTTGCAAAATTTTATTAAAAAAAACACTTTTTTTTTAAATTTTTGAAATTGTACAAGCTTCTGTGAAACCTGTAATTTCAAGTGAAAAATATATAGGGGATTTCCTTATCTAAATGAACTGCATCTGCAAAATGTTATTGTGTTCTGTAATTATGCAGGCCCCGAAGATAACTGGTGTTAAAGCTCATACAGAAATGGACAAGAAACAGATTATACTGGACATGAATATCAGGCAAGTTGTTGTTGTTGTTGTTGTTGTTGTTCTTCCCATTTGTCCCTTCTTTTTTTAAATTAAATACAGTACATATTGAGTTAAAGTGATTTTTATGCCTGACAAGTCTGTATTACCCCTCTTTAAACTTAAAAATTCAACAGTTCTTCTACTTGCTTATGGTGGGCCATACACACATAGGAAAAAATCTAACAAATTTCTCCATCCACTCTAAACAGAACAAATCTCCTGCTGTGGCTATTATATTCTGACAGCCGCAAGTGTCAGAATATCTGAACAGCAGCTGCATCTGATTAAATTGAGCTGTTTGGCTGCCAATTTTCTACCCAGCTCCTTTAAATTTTTTTTTTAATTGAAGGAAGTGAAATTTGATCAGTGTGTGGCCATCTTGATACTTGCTCTAGCTGCTGCCTGAGGGACACATCAGTGTGCTCACCATCTGGAAAGTGTCTTTAAATAGAGGCATTGATTTTCTGTACACACATCTTGGATGGTGACATTTTAAAGAGATACTGCAAGGGTAAGGTAACAGTGTCTCTTTTAAGATTTGCCTATTTTAATCCACCCAGCATGAAATGCTAATCAATGCCTGTTCTGTACAGCTAGATGTCATTCAGGACACTACTGACTTTCTTTTTCTCTGTGCAGTTATGTTGGAGATGTGGAAATAGACGTGGAAGTGAAAAAGTATTTTTGTAAAGCTGGAGTGAAGGGTGCACAGGTGAGTGAATTTTCTTTATCGTACATCACGGGACACAGAGCAGTATTTATGACTATATGGGATGTCCCAAACAGCCGTTCCCCATGAAATGGAAAACCTGCCAACAATTTTTGGCATGGCAGTTCTGCCGACCAACTCTTCAGCCACAAAATCCTGCGCTGATAAGAGGGCCAAGCGAGAAATTTGCTGAATTGAAGTACTTCCTGTATAGGAGGGGTTATATAGAGGAGGACCTCCTCTCTGATTGGTCGGCCAGTGTCCATTCACCTATAGGTGGCCTATAACCCAAATAGTCATGAATAGCCTGCTCTGTGTCCCGTGATATACTCCAAGAAATTGATTTTATAGGTAAGTGTGTAGAAATTAATATTTATCTATTAATCCTTAAAATGACCATGCCATTAAAAGTGAATATATATATTTGTTTACACAACAGGCCACATCTTCTTCTGTGGCCTACACATAAACCATATTAGGCTCAACTTACGAAGAAAGCATCCTTATTTTTTTTTAAATGATTGCTACTGTGCAGCTCCATGGAAATTAGTCACTTGGCTAAAAATAAAGATTCTTATCCTTGTGTAGAGCTTTGTGAATTAAACCTTTTTAATTTCTTTCTTTTCACCAGCACTTGAACTTGATGTCGAAAAGACTTCTCATTTGTCTACTTTAATTTCATTGCACTAAAATTACATTGCTTTGGTTTCTTTACCAGCTTCATGGGATGTTGCGAGTCATCCTAGAACCTCTCTCATTGGTGATGTCCCTATTATTGGCGCATAACATTATTCTTCATCCGACGTCCGGTATGTCAACAATGAAATAAGCTTTTCACACACATACTGCTGATACAGTATATTTTTATGGTTAGTTTTTTTATAAAATGGGCAGCACAGTGGCTAAATGGTTAGCACTTCCGCCTGGCAGTACTAGGGTTGTTGGTTTGAATCCAAACCACGACACCACCTGCCTGGAGTTTGCATGTTCTCCCTGTGCCTGCGTGGGTTTCCTCCAGGTACTCCGGTTTCCAAAGTCATGCTGGTAGGTGAATTGGCTCCTGTCTAAATTGGCCCTAGTATGTGTAAGTATGAATGTAAGTTAGGGACCTTAGACTGTGTGTTCCTTGAGGGTTAGGGACTGATGTGAATGTACAATATATATGTAAAACTTTGTGTAAATTGACGGTGCGATTTAAGTACCTGTAATAAATACTGTAAATGACTAAAATGTCTGCAGTCTGATCTTCTAGAATTGAGAAAGAAATGTAGATAAGAACTGTAAAGAGTAAAGATGCTGCACAGAAACTACAACTGTTACATTCATTTCATAAGCTACAGTAGCAAACTGACAACTGTAGTGTAGTTTGTATAGGCGCTTCCTTCCAGTTTTTGCTCCCAAGTCCTGGTGTGTTTATAGTTTTGCAATGTAACTGATATAGTGGTCTGCAGATCATATCAAAGATGTTGATTCTCACATATAAACCAGGCTGTATTTGTAACAAACTTTGTTTATATCCACTTTTGGTTTCAGTTGTGTAATTTTAAGGTTTCCTTACACATGCTGCACAAATGAACAAATGTTTACTTGCCTTTCCCTTCTAGATGCTGGATTTAAACTGGACAGGTCTCACAAACTTGCTGGATATACCCGGACTGGAGTAGGTATTCTTTGCCTGGGTTTTTTTATGATTCAAACTGTTGTCATCTAATACTGTTCAGAAGGTTCATGTTTGGCCTATGTCTTGTCATCATTCAAGGAGCAGGGCAAGGTGACAGGTTCTCTTGACGGAAGCTCCCCACCCATTGATACCAACCTTCCCCACACTTTGCCAGCACTCCATTTGTGTGTCAGATCACTATGCCCAAACCTTGTGTGAGCTCTGTGACAGTATGGGGGAAATTTACTAAAGCTAGTGCACTCAGAATCTGGTGCAGCTGTGCATGGGAGCCAATCAGCCTCAAATTTCAGCTTGTTCAATTAGGCTTTGACAATAAAACCTGGAAGCTGATTGGTTTCTGTGCAGAGCTGCACCAGATTTTGCACCATGCAATTTTAGTAAATAACCGCCTCTATGTCTGATTACATAGGTTTAAGAATCTTCCTCCCTAAATGACAGTGCTTGAGCCTGGTATATGGCTGTTCCGGCCTGAGCATTGCATCCTCAGAGTAAGGGAACAATGTCACAAGCTCTCCCATGCGCAGACGTAGCAGGTATTTTTGAGGGCTCTGACAGATAAATGATGTGACAATTATTCCAATTTTCTGTGGTAATTTAATATATTTTGCGGTGATGCCCAATTAAGGGAAACTATGTGAAGAGATGTTGTAAGGTTAATTTTGATGTAGATTTCAGATGTGTTGCATGCTTCCTGTACCATTTTTACATAACTATATTATTTGTAGCTACTCAGGCTTTCTAATTAGCAACTGCTCAGATAAAAGCCTCAGGCTCACAGAGACAGTCCTGACTAATAGTAATAGGCAGGGCATAGATTATGCAGTTTTCTTTCTTTTAAATCACTCCTTCAGCACTATTGTATTCTGCCAGTGGCGAGCCTTTCTGCTGCAGAACACAATGATTAGTGTTGCCAGCTATAGTTGATGGCACTAAACATTTGGGAAAAACCCGGCAGGCTGATTGTTACATCAGGCTAATCCCTTTCACATCTGTACCTATGTGTTAAAGAATTATATGTCTGCAAAGGTTTTTTCATTATACTATGGCATAGCTAGTAGTAGTTCATTTAATTCCTCTGAACTTCTTTTGTAATGCTGAAGGCACCTCTCTCTCTTTATATTGGTGCGCTAACTCTGGGTACACACGGGCCGAAAATTGGCTGAAAATGGTCGGTTAGGCTGCAACCGGACAACTTACAGCCTGTTTGTACAGCTCGTCATCCAACAGAAGCTGGTCTTACAAAACCCAGCATCCATTCAGCGCTGATCATTGTGTTCTGATGGGGGGGCAGGCCCTCTGTTGGAACACAATAGCTCAGCGGGGAGATTACCACACTAACATTGGATGTGTTGTACAGTGATCTGTATGTTTTTTCATTCAGCCGCTGGGTTGAACTAAAAAAACTTCCCCTGTGTACCAGGCTTTAAAGTGCACCTATGTCCAAACTATGGCTATTAAAGTATGTACATCTTCTTAGCAAGCAGTAAAGAAATTTAAGACAAGCCACTCCTGACCTCTCTAGCCACTTATACTGTGAAGTAAATCATTTCCAAAGATTATAGAGGGCTTGCAGGCTGTCAAGATTCTGCTATCCATAAAAAATAGCTTTCTGAGATTTTAGTGCCTCTGTTGTGAATTTTGAAAATGAATTTCTCCACAATGCCAATGGCTACAGAGATGAATGAGGATTTAAAATGCTATAATATGCATAATCTGGGCATAGAGTCACTTAATTAAGGCACTTTTAAAAAAGAGGCAGGAATATAAGTATTTCAAATAAGCCTTTGAGGAAATTTAACATTAAGTAAACTTTTCCTAAGAAGAATATAGGAGCTGGTGTTGCTGACTCTCTTCTAAAATGCTGCTTGCTGGCTTTTATGCTTACCCTCTGGCTATAGTGCTGTCTGAGTCACAGATTCAAAACACACACAGACATTTTTTTGAAGTCTTTATGTACATTTTTTTTTCAAGGTTAGTGCCTCAAATTATAAATAAATACTATTTTTAAGGAGTAATTTAAAAAAGGCTTATATAGTAAAGTTATTAAATCATACAGCTAATTGTTAACTCATATATACAGTATGAGTAATAACACATAAAAGCATTTTAGCAAGTTCAGACCCTACTCACTGGGAGATTTTTTTGTCAGCTGAAAGGTGCTCTTTATCAGCCCCTAGGAGGTCTGATACTGCTAGACTGCCAAATGCAAATGATGCCTGAGATCGATCTGAAGCACTGCTTGTTGTTGTCAGGTTATGTATGACCACACTTACTGCGCATGTTGCATTTTGCATTATGAATAATGGTCAGATGTTTGAGCTGCTCCATCCTATTATGTTCACAGTTTTACTCTCCTGTGTTCTGTCTTGACTCTGCTCTGGTCTTTTTACAGTTTAATATCAGACACCATGATTATGGACATCATTTCTGGGTACTTGGTGCTGCCAAATCGCCTTGCCATCCCCCTTGCCCAAGATCTTCATGTAGCAGAGCTCCGTTCTCCACTTCCCAGGGTAACCAGTTATTGTGTTAATATTTTAGTCTTTCTAGGTTAGATTCAATGGTATTCTCTCTATATCTTAATGTTACTTTATGTCTGATTCATATTTTATGTCTATTCCTTCCCTCATCCCATAATGTTCTGGATTTTTCTAATGGAACTCATCAGTACACTTGCTATGGTCTGTGGTCAACGTAATTGTCCATTCTACTTTATTTCTCTGTCATCACTTCACTAAACAGTAAAAATAATTTAGGTACATTATATAATTATTTCTGCCAACTACCCACACTATGCTACCCATTTCTGTCATTATTACAGTGTTCCCTTGGGATAAATGGGCTTTTGGGATGCAAAGTACTAGTATTCTCTCTATATGATTGATTTACAGTAGGTAGTGACATGGGAACAGCTACCAGCGGACTTTGCATTTCAAACCACAAATGTGTTAAATAGTTTACTGTGTTGATATAGCACACCAGTTCCTCTGAAGTTTTCATGGCAGTGACTTAAAGAGGAAGTTCACATACTTCCCATGCCCCATGCTCATTTTGCTTTTTACCCATGCCTAGGGTTTATGCTGGGTTGCCCTTAATTAACACATTCACACACATATACATTGCCCTGCTGTAATCCACCACCATGTGCCAAGTCCCACGCCAACATCTTCGTCTCTGATGTCATCTGGGGCAAGCTGTCTCTACCGGAATCTTGAAGCCAGTACCCTGATAACATGCAGCAAGATTTGCTCTCTTCCAGCTGCTGTATGGAAGCCAGTGCCTCCTGGTATATCTGACATGGCTTTCTAGAAGACTGCAGGGGCACAATATGCGTTGTTCTCGCCTAGGCAAGAATGTAGGCAGATGGCAGAGTGGCGTGGATAAAAAATGTAAAATAAAAAAAAAAATTTGTACCTTGGCATCTTTAATAGAATAGAATGCCTTTGTACTATCTTAATGATGTCTACAACATCTATTCCATGTACTTCCCAGACGCTAATAGAAGACATTACCTAGTGCATTCCTTTCTTTTGCTTATTCTGTTTTGCATTTTCTGATTTTCCCATTCTTCTTTTCAGGGCATTGTGCGCATCCATCTTTTGGAGGCTCGTAGTCTGTCTCCGAAGGATTTTCAGATGGGAGGATTGCTAGCAGGAAAGTCTGATCCTTATGCCATAGTGCGTGTAGGGACACAGGTCTTCACCAGCCGTACCATAAATGAGAATCTAAACCCAGTGTGGAATGAGATGTATGAGGTAATTTATGTTTATCATAACATAGTCATTATTCAGTGACTGTTTATTGATCTGGAGCAGATTTATGATATAACATCGTTTAAAAAAGATACAAGTCCATCGAGTTCAGTCAAATCACTTCTGCCTGGAGCTCTGGGCAAATGACTAAACACACAGTAGAAATACATACTGTATATTTTTTAGTATTTACCTACCAAAAGACTTTTAATTGATGTAGTCATGTAATTTATCCCCCTCTGCCAAACTACACAGCTTAATAGCTCATGTATTGGCCATTGAACAGGCTGGAAATGAAGAGGTGGTGTCTGCTTTGCTGGACTAGAAACTGTGTGTCACCTGGCCAGGTATGCATTGTTGTGGCAATGTAGGTAAATCACAAGATTTGCTTCACAAAATTACAAATCCTTAACGGGTATAAAGATATAAGGAGAAATACAGCTAAAGCTCTTTTGGCTGTACTTCTGTGGATCACAGTAGTGCAGTTCGTTCTTCACTCCAGTGACCTGTTTTCAGCTGACAGCAGGCTGAATCCAACTGTCGGCTGGCATCACTCATCTGCCCCAGGCCGGGGAAAGATCCCGACTTTAAAGACTTTGGATCCACCCTAGAGTCTAGAGCGGCACCTGGCTCAGCCTCTGAGCGATCTGCTGAGAGCCTGAGCTAGCTGTTCCCTCTTCCTCCACAGCCCTGCACTCCAGTGAGCACCGGGGAGGGCAGAGCAGACAGCAGTGATTGACAGTCACCACTCTCTGTTCAGAGCGGCTGTGAGAACTCAATGATCAGCAGTCATGTGATCGCAGAGTTCTCACACTTAGTTCTGGCGGGGAACTGATGCAGGATCGGACCAATGCTACATCCACCTAGGTAAGTATGATTTCAGAAAAAGAACAACCTAAACTTCTCTTTTAAGATATATGTTATTTAACTGTATTTGTATCTGTTTGCCTGGAGTTTAATATATAAATTGTAGTCTTTCTTATCATATCTCTTTGTTGCTTCCATGTGCAGGCAATAGTACATGAAGTGCCTGGGCAAGAGCTAGAAATTGAGTTGTTTGATAAAGATCCTGATAAAGATGATTTCCTAGGACGGTAAGGGACAACATTTGCAAATATGTTTGTATTGTTTTGCGCATTACGTACATATTTAGGAGAAAATTATTCCTTACTGTGCTGCCCTGCCCAGAGCATAGTGATAGTCTCAGATTGTTATAACTTGGGATTCCAGCCACAATATTTTTAACAACAATCGGAATGTCAGATTAAAAGCTCCAGCATTCTATGTTTTTACTGAAGAAATATACAAGGCTTAAAATAAGACATCTTCGATTTGGAACACTTTCAGAAAATCAAAGGTGCAATTGTTCATTAAGTTCTCTGACTGTTAGATCAAGAATGCACAATGGGGGGGATTTACTAAAACTGGAGAGTGCAAAATCTGGTGCAGCTCAGCACAGAAACCAATCAGCTTCCAGGTTTTATTGTCTAAGCTTAATTAAACAAGCTGAAGTTAGAAGCTGATTGGCTATCTTGCACATCTGCACCAGATTCTGAGTGCTCCAGCTTTCGTAAATCTTCTTTAATGTCTTCTGTACAAAAATGTTATATATTACTATGTCCTATCATATAATCAAACCACAAAATATATCTTCGTATTCTCACATGGTGGACTTTCCCTTTCTGCTGTCTGTCATTTTGTTTGTCACCAGCTAGTTCTACATTTACAGTAGATCTTATATTGTTAAAAATAGCCAGAATATGTAAAATCATGACATTTTTGTATTTTCAAATCCCCCTCTTCATTTTAGATCACGTCCCAACATTATTTTTTACCTGTTCCAACAATCCACTTTTATTGCTCTATGTGACATCACTATCAGCTGCACGAAGTTCATTTCCTGAATACTGATGTAGGCCCATCACCAGAACTACATTTTCCAAGAGTCTTTTCACTACACACAGTGTCGGCCGGTTCATGGGAGTTAAAGCGATTGTAAAGGCTAAAAGTTTTTTTAACCATAATGCATTCTCTGCATTAAGGTAAAACATCTTACACTAGCAGTCCCCCCCAGCGCCCCCTCAACACTTACCCTGTATTGATCCAGTGCTGTACCTGACATCAGTTCTTCTCTCCCTTTATCGTGCTCTCACAAGTTTGGCTGAGCTTTTTTGATTTTAATAAATTGTACATGAGGCTTTACAACAGTGATGTCAAACTCAATTTAATTTCAGACTGCATCAGCAGTATGGTTGCCCTCAAAGGGCCGGTTGTGTATCTGTAAAACTAAAGCACCCCCACCCCCCTTACATCAGATGTCAAGAGCCCCCACGCCATCAAAAGTCAATTTTCCCCCACCCTTCTTACATCACCCCCTTTACCTTGTGCTGCTGCTGGGGGTGGAGCTGGGAAGAAGAAAGTGCAGGGTCTGGAGGAGGACCAGAGGAGGGCTGGAGTCAGCTGCCGGAGTCTGCCGAATGCTGAGACATGGTGGGGGCGGAGATGAGGGGCATGTTGCAGCTGCAGCTGAGGTGCCAGGGCCACATGAAACGGCCTGGCGGGCCATATTCAGCCCATGGGCCCTGTGCTTTGATACATGTGTTTTACAATATAGACTTTCATTAGACAAACTGGGATTTGCCTGCATGTTTCCAGCTTTTATGCCTTTTCAATGTTCTCTTTGTTTTGACATCATTTGCAATGTAATGTTTTTACCTACAGATTGACAGTTGTGTGCAACAAATATTCCTGTAGTCACCGTGGTCTGACTATATATAATGCTCACTGAGATATATCTCTTGTCAAAATTTGTGCAACACAATCACCTAACAGAGCTTTGTAGTTAACAGAAATGTAAATTATAGGGCAGTGTTTTGAAATTGTTATAAGTACCGACGTCCTGGAAGGCAGCATGTTATAAGTGGAAGTAAAGGCAGTTGACAGGGCTGCAGCTCTGAGGGGGCTTTTCATCTCTGAATGTTAGCTTCAAAGGTCATCCTCAGTAAGGGGTAAGTAAAGCTCAGTAAAGGGTAAATGTGTCAATTAGTTTTATTTTCCCACTTCAAATGGGTTTTACATTACCATACATATCTTTGGCAATGCAAAACTTGCTTGAAGCAGGTCAATTGCTAGTCAGAAGGAGGTCAGCTGCGGGTCATTTACACCAGTCAGTAAATTCTGAATGATTTCTGAATCATATCAAATTGATGGCAATCTGGTGCCTGTGTCAACACAAGTCAAAAGCTGTCAACACAGGCCCTTATTATAAATCTTTCCAAGACAAGCATATGAAATTATAATAGCTTAAGACTAAATGTGTGGATTCTCACATGAGCCCAATCGCAGCTGGTTCCCTTTTTAAGGGCCCATTCATACTTGCTGTTCATGTGCATTGCGTTAGCTCATGTGCGTTAATACACTTTGGGGGAAGATTTACAAAAATGGGTTCACTTAGAAGCTGTGCATGGTAGCCAGATTCTAACCTCAGCTTGTTCAATTAAGCCTTGACAATAAAACCTGGAAGCTGATTGGTTAGCATGCAGAAATGCACCTGATTTTGCACTCTCCAGCTTTAGTAAATAAACCCCATTGTGTCATGTGTTAGCGTGCATTGCAGTTCATTCATTTTGAATAGGCTGCTAATGCAACAGAAGAGATAAAAAATATATATATGAGGCATTTTTTCCACAGTGAACCACAACGCATGGTAGCGCATTATAATGCATTGTAACGTACTGCAACACATGTGTGTTGGAATTGCTCTGCTGTAGTTTGTTGGGGTGCCATTGTTTCTCAACATGGATACTGCAACACACTCACAAAGGTGTGATTTAGCCCTAAAGCAAACCTATTGTATACATAAGTAGGAATCGCTGAAGAAAACCTGTGCCATGTAGCAAAGAGCACAAGCAATCAGCACATACCTTTGATGTAGAAGATACTGTATGTGTCCTGCCCCACCCAAAGCTCCCCACAGTTTCTCTGCTTGCAGGTAGTTTAGATCAGCTTTTATCAACCAGGGTGCCTTGAAGTTTTTTCAGGGGTGTCTTGGCAAAATGTCTAAAAATTGCCCAAAACTTGTATACAAGCCTGCCTTTTAGTTACACAAAGCCACAGATTTTCATTGTGCACCATTATGACCTAGCTGCCGGCATCCTGACAACCAATGATCTCATCAGTTGATAAGGAAAATTTGTCGGTTGCCTGCACAGCATCCTAGTTTTACCCTCCCCCGTCACTCTCCATCAGTGTTGGGCTCACATTAGCACAGTGATGGAGAAAAACTGAAGAAGAGAAACAATGGAATACTACTCAGTACCAGTGTGCAAAAGTGTATTTGCTTTGGAAAAATAAATCACCTTTAATATTGGGTGTCCTAGATGTGTGGTCGTTACTGCGTTTTATATAAAACTTTTCACATTTTAGAATGGGGTACCTCAAGACTTTCCTTAATTTTAAGGGTGCCTCGAGACTGTGTATCATTTTTAAGGGTGCCTTGACTGAGAAAAGGTTGAGAAACACTGGTTTAGATTAGGCATGCTAGCTGCCCCAATCCTGCAATGCAGTGAAAGGCGGCTGAATAACCTATCAGCAGGCATTCGCAGGAGGGGAGCTCTGTTTTATATAAATAGCAATTTGAGAAAAACACCAGTTGTAAAGCTGGTTGCTCCAACACTAAGACTTCTGCAGTGAAAGGTATGTACTGATATGAACTTACACAGCTACCTGATGTTGGTCTTAGTTATGCAATTGTGATGTATGCGCAGATTTACTTGATTTAGGGTTCAAAATGACCCCTGGATGGCAAACATATTATGCAGCATAAGTACTCCTTATTATCTCAGACATCTGAAGATCCTACAGGGTATGGGGAGGAGTTCACAAAACGTAAAATAATCTTTTTTACTTTGAGCTAAGGTGACTTCTACTTTATGGGTCTGTTCACTGACAATGACTGCTGTGTTTGTCTGTAGTCATCACTCTTATCTTTGATCATCTTTGAAATCCCTCTCACAAGGCTGTGTACATGTTAGGAAACAGATTGTGTGATAGGTCTCTGCAATGTCTGTGGTTTTTTAACTTTGTAAACATTTGCTGTCATTTTATGTTAAGCTTTCTGTCCTAAATTATGCTTTCAGAAAAATCTTTTGTCAATACAATAAAGAACTGATTTAATATGATTTATTTAATAAAGAGCAGTGGTCTGCAGTTACATATCAACAATTTGCAGATATTTTTTCATTAGCCTAAGGCCATAGACGGGGCAAATTTCTTTCCTGCAGTCAGGCAGTGTTGACAGGGGAATCCCCTCTGCTGAGCCAGTGGGAAGCTGCCCCCGAGGGAGAACGCAATGAATATTGCTAATGGCTGTCACAGCCGCTAGCAATAATCACATGTAAAAGGCAGGCTGGTTGTACCCAAGTTGATCGATCAATACATGGTTTAAATCTTGGATGGTTTCTGCCTCAGCCAGCTTAACTATCACACCTTTTAACCTTTCATTAGTCTAACCAACCACAGTATTTTCGATGCATCAACACAAACTGTAACATTTGCATTTATTTTTTACATGTCAATGCACATTGATGGGACTTTTGAAATTATAATAAGTGCATGTAAAATCACAGGTGAAGGGCTCTGTAGGCTATATAAAAAAAAAATCCACATTTTTGCCTGCAAAAACATACATTTATAATTTTTTTTTTTTAAAAAGTGAACCTATTCTTTTAAATATATTAAAACACACAATGCCTGTTCACACCTGAGTGTGTTTTAATATCATGCTTTTTAAAATGTGTTTTAGTGTGCTTTCTAATGCGTTGAAATACTTACTATATGCGTTTTCATGCATCTACATTGATATCAGTGAGCCTGTCAATGTGCACAATAGAGCATAGGTGTGAGGCTACATGAAGTCTGACAGTTGTTTCACTGCCAACTGCCTTTAAACTGATAACACCTGCTGTCTGCTAAGTGTGTATCACAGGATTACAACAAAGGAGACATAGAGACATAAACATATAACTATGTTTACCTTACTGCAGCTTGAAAAAGCTCAGTACAGTGCTTTTTGTTATTTTTTATTGAAGTAAACTATAGCCTATTTTTGGTCAGTAGTTTACGCCATGTGAGTGCAAATGTGCACAAATATGCGCATATGAGCATAAATATTAATGCATTTCCCTAAGAATATATTGTGCGCGGCAAATGTTCAATCGCGCATATGCATATAAATATGCGCAAAACAAATGCCTGATATTACATTAAAAAAAGCAGACGCTCAAATATCAGTACCGTGTGCAAGAGGCCTTATGCTGGTAAACTGCGTGTGTGTTATCAGACTGAGTTCAGGCAGTTGAAAGGATAGCAACTGTCAGACTTTTAAAGCCTCTCATTTCTGATTAGTTTTTCTTAGACAGTTACCCTCTGACAAAAAAAAAGCCACATAGGTGGATGAATATAAATATTTCACAGGTAAGCTTGTAGAATTAACATAATTTAAGACTAGGTGCTCAGAACCTTTCCAAGTGTGACTGGTTTTCTTTTAAAATGATTTTAGTATCCATGTATAGTGACTAATCTTTCTCTTCAAATCCGCATTTGCTTGTTTTTTAATAAGAGCACTTTGTATCTGCTAATTTACCAGTTGATAGCTGGATGTACCTGGATATTTGGTTAATGTCTGTGTACATTTAATCAGCACATCAAATGGTTTTTGTTTACTTGACAGTCACACTAAGGTACTTTAGGCCTGAAATTGAAATAGGTGAAAACATTTTGCAATGCTGAAGCAACAATTCTAATTCATTTGTCCATTTAACTTTATAACCACATTTTCCACATGTCTCAGGATGAAGTTGGATCTTGGTGAGGTGAAGAAGGTTCAAGTCTTGGACAAGGTACAGTAGTAATAGAATTCAGGGCTTTTTCATACAAGCCTGCAATTGGGCCATGTGTACAGGTAATGTATGGCAGGCTTTGCATTGTTAGAGCGTAAGGTACTGTTTATCTTTTTTATTTAAACTTTATTAAAATTCAATTTATTTGTGTAAAAGATGCGAAAGCCACTGCAAGGTGCAATGTGTTGCAAAAAAATGCAACACAACGCAATGCACCACAACCCACCTCAATACAATGTTGTAGTGTGTGAATAGGGCACATTGAAAACAATTGCTTTCTCTGTGCCCTTGCATTGATCTTGTGTTGACCTGTGCAGAGTAATGCAGCTTAATGCAGTGTGAACAAGCCCTTAGTAGATGGCAGGTATTACGACCCTGTGTGTAATGTCTGACTGCTTTCTTTCACCATTTTAGTGGTTCACATTGAACAGTGCAAAGAGTGGGAAGGTTCATCTTCGACTGGAGTGGCTCACTCTCCAGTCCAATGCTTCCCAGCTGGAGCAGGTAAAGAAAATATCATCTAATTTATGATGTATGTGTCCATCTATCTCTGGCAGATTGAGTTTGTGTTATTTATATACAGTGTCTCCTAGAAGCCTTGGTAGAATGCCTTTGTTGTGTTTTTTCACTTCCAGCAGCCAAATCAATGGGGTTTCATTATATAATATTACTAAGACTCCAGCAGAGAAGTGGGGCTTTATGATGAGGTATGCAGACCCAGGATCTTTGGGCATAGAGTTTTAGTCTCTCTGGTCCCTCAGAGATATAAGAAGCAAGTGGAAAAATATAATTGATCTTTCAGATTTGGTCTGTAACTGTTTAATGCACGTTTCACCACTCATATGGAAATACAATTTATTACTGAATTATTAGTCCATTTTTGCATTTTGTGATATCTCACATGCAATTAGGCTGCTGAATTCAGATCAGAAAGTCTTTCTGAACCCAGTAATAAATGAAGCACTGCTCATCTCTGCTGAACTTGCAATTTACTTGAACATCCCCATGCAAAGGGGCAAGTCCTTTCCAATGACTGAGTAAAGGGGAAGGAAGTACTTTACCTCAAGTGCTCTGCTGTAGTCTGTCAGCCAGGACTCAGTGGTTGGTCCTGGAGTGATTGCAGGCACTTCAATACTTTACTGCTGATTGTCCCTTGAAAGACATCTGATAGTGTGTAGCCTGCTCTACTCCAGATGGTAGTGCTGGCCTTGTGATGTCCTCCAGTGTGATCTGGGTTATTGATGTATAAGTCCATCTACATGGACAGCTTTAGAGTCATATATAAAAGCTTAGACTTTAAGGCTAATTTAAAGGCATTATAAACTTTTGTACCTACACATTGTGGTTTTCACCTGTATAAGATATGCAATGGTCCTGTAATTTCATGGTGTCACCTGTTGCCTTTTGCACACAGCCTATAGTAGAGTAAATCTTCAAAATCCAGTGTCAGCAATTTCTGTTTGTGTTCAAACATGTGGCATGCAGCATGGCACTGTACAGGTTAATGCATGATCTCTGTATGTAACCTGAGAACAGAACTTCCTGTGAAGAGACTATATTTCCCACAATCCCTGGGTATCCCTGTCTAGCAATGGTGCAGGTGAAAGTTGCAGAGTAATTAGATCTGAGACAGGCACAAGCAGGCAGTGCAATGAAGGAAAAAGATGTGTATGAACACATTAGCACTCCTACATTTATTGTGCAACACAGAGGAAATTGTGAGGCATGCATTGGATGCTGTGTGACCCAGAACAAAAAGTTGCCTGTTCCTTTAGCGAATTGGGACAAGCTAGGTGAATGAATACATGGACATAGGTGAATCAATCAGCCATAACACTACAAACTTCCCCCACAACATGTGAACCCATCATTACAAGGTAAAGCAATCAAGCGACACATAAGATACACTAATACTTAGTAAAACAACAAAAATATTTAAAGAATTGAATGCAAATTCCTGTTAAGTTTGAATACCCAGTCATGTGCTGATGCTTTTATCATGATTGGATAAATGAAGTGAATATTCACACATTTTTAATTTTGAAAAGCAAATTCCTGTTCAGTTTGGATACTCAGTCTTGTGCAGATGCTGTTATCATAATTGGATAAATGAAGTGAATATTCACACAATTTTTGAATGAAGATTTTCAACTCCTATAATGAATTAGCTTGAGTGTTTTGAGGGAATATTCCAGTGTATACACAGAGGACATGGGCAAGTGTGCTAGCCAATATATTTCACTAGGCTCACTAGTGCTAGGACAAAGAGAACTTCAATTTTTAAAAATACTGTGTTGTGACTAAATGCAGTCCTTCCTTACCTTATTATGTTCATTATTTACGTTTCAGATGATAAATTTGAATAAAACTATATCTTCAAAGGCAAATGATGAACCATCTTCTGCTATTCTTATTGTCTACTTGGATCGGGCAGATGACCTACCTGTAAGTACCTATCTAGGCAGAATCCACTTTTACTTGTGTTACTGATAAGAAATATACATGATTTAGTACATTTTACTTCTTCTCTCAGTTCTACAAGATATGATTGTAGTGTCTATACTTTCATATATTGCCAATGACTTCTAGGGATCGATTTAAGAAAGTTGGAACAAAAGAGGAATATATCATGTTTCAGCTCTCATTCTCTGGGAATTTGATACAAGAAATCTGGTCATTGTGGCTGACAGTTTATCATTTGCTCTAGTGTTTTGTTCCAGTGTCTATAAATCAGCCCCACCGTCTGTTCTAAAGCTGCAGGGTGGTTATAACAAATGTGATGGTATTCAGAAATATTTTATCATACTTTAAGATGAATGACTAAGCAACCCAAAATCTTGCCAGTTATGGTTTTTGTGTCATCTGTCTTGTTTTATTCATTCTGTGGGCACTATTCACTACAGTAGGTCACCGGAGCCACTTCTAGATCTTCTGCTGCCATACAAATTCTATTCTTGGCATTCCTGGCATTCCACAGATTCTGCATGAGCTGGCCACAACTTTTTCTATTAGATCTTGATCTACATCCACTTGAATAATCTACCTTTCATGTGAATTTATCTTGCAATGTCCCAAATATTTAAAGTGGAACTTTCGTCAGAAAATTAGGTCCTGATAGATCACTTCATGTTGGCCCCTTTTGGAACAATAGCTATGTAAACCATTAAAATGGTTGTAGAGGTAAAAGGTTCTTTACCTTAATGCGTTCCCTGCATCAACATAAAAAACTTTTTTTTTTCCAAATAACTTTTTATTGAAGATTTTATCACTTTACATTCAACAAAACCAAACAAACTAAACAAAAATAAAATAAATACAGAAAAAAAAGACATAAAGTCTAAGATATGACTACTCACATGGTGCAGTAGTAGTCTTTCACATACAATAGCATGAATGAAGTCAAAGCAAGAAATGGTATGAGTACAGCATACCAAAACAGCCCGGCCACTATAGATCAGGTAAGCAAGAATCTGCTAGTAGAGACCATTCTTACTTCAAATAGTCAATAATGCAGTAAGGTATAACAAATGTATATCTAGTGTTCATCCCATATGGATACAAACATTTCTACTGCTAAGCCTGTAGAAGAGATCAAGTTTAGCACAGGGTGTCATCCTTTTTTCCATATGGGGTACCACGTATACATAGACAATTTTTATTCAAGCACGCCACTATTTAGACATTTGTACAATCTTGGAATTGGCGCATGTGGCACCGTGCAACATAATCGCCGGGGGGCTTCCCCCAATGGCTTGTAAATGCCCATCTTAGAAAGGGGAAAAAATCCTGCTTGAGAAATGAGGATGTCATTCAACTGGAGCACCTACTGGTTTATTCTGACAACAGCAGGGTCTTGCTCTCAGAATATACATAAGTCAGTGTGGGCAGCGCTGTTGGATTATTATTATTATTATACAGTATTTATAAAGCGCCAATAGTTCGCTCAGCGCTGTACATTACAGAGGGGAACAGAACATGTGACAGAACAATACCAATACAATGCAAAACATGAGGGGATCGAGGGCCCTACTCTTTCGAGTTTACAATCTAGGATGAGATTTTTAATCCGCAGTTAAAAAAAGAGCATATATGCCAAAGCATGGGGGCCTGGGGTGGCCAGTGGGTGGATGGCCCCTATGCTTCGGCATATGTATTTTATAATATTTTTTGGCACATTAGAAGTAGGTGGATGCGGGGCAGTATATTCTAACGGTGGACATACCACACACTTTTTCTTCTCTTTTTTTCATTCAGCCCACATAAAAAAAAAAGGAACATAGCATATACACCCAACAAGGACCAGCGACGTACTGATACATCACTGGACTTTGAGCGGTTATACCAGGATGATGCTACTCTCTAACTCCCTTGTCTCCTCCTCCCATGCTCGTCTCCAGGACTTCTCCAGAGCTTCCCCCATCCTCTGGAACTCTCTACCCCAATTTATCAGACTATCGCCTACTCTGCTCACTTTTAGGCGATCTCTGAAAACCTAACTCTTCAGGGAAGCCTATCCTGCCCTCAGCTAATAATGGAATCTTCTACTCTTCCAACCAGTCCATCTCCCACAGTTACTACCTTTTGTACCACTAGCCCCTCCCTCCTATATTGTAAGCTCCAAGGAGCAGGGCCCTCTTTTCCCTCTTGTATTAAACTGTATTGTTGCTGTATTGTCTCCCGTTATATTGTAAAGCGCTGAGCAAACTGTTGGCGCTATATAAATCCTGTATAATAATAATAAAAGCAATCCTAGTGGCTAATTAGCTGCAGGATTGCTTTTACAAGCAGCGGGAGAAGATGCCCCCCCTCTTCCGCTACCTTCCACGGCCTTCTCGGGCAGTCCTGTGCCATCGGGGAACCTGAGAATGCAGCCGGTGTTTCTGTCAGCTGTCCATAGAGCTGATTGGAGACCAGAATGGTGACAATCATCTCTATAGTCTAAGAAATCGGAAGCTACAAGCATTTCATCACTTCAGTTTCGCAGGATATAAACAGCACCATTTGTAAATTGGGAAAGCATCTGATCACACCGATCTTGGTGAGATTAGATAATGTAAGGGCAGAGGAGATATCTAGAGTCTGATAGACCCTCAGATTAAAAATAAAAGAAATATATGACAATGCCCATTGAAGTTATAGGGCATATTTGCATTCCCTGTGATAGCATTAAAAGTGATAAAAAAAATAAAAATGAATGGGACAGTGTAAAAATAATAAAAAAAAAAATCAAAATAGCTTTAAAAAAAAAAAAGCAGCACCCTCGCCCCCCACGCGCGCACACCTGTGTGTGCGAGCGTTGATCCTGTGATGGTATGTAAACAGCGGTTGCGCCATGCATGTGAGGTATTGCCGCGAACATCTGATCAAGGGCAGTAATTCTAGCACTAGACCTTCTCTGTAAATCTAAAATGGTAGCTTGTAAAGGCTTTTAAAGCGTTGCCTATGAATATTAAAAATGTATGCAGTTTATAGCCATTGCACGGGGCATGTGCAGTTTTAAAGCATGTTATGTTTGGTATCTATTTACTCAGCATCTATTTGGTTTCCGAGGTTGGTATCTATTTACTTCTTTTATACTTTACCAAATAATTGGCCAATATATTGTGTTTTTTTGTGCATTAAAAGTAAAAAAAAGTGTATTTTTTTAAAAAAAACTTGCGTTTGAAAAATCACTGCGAGAGTACTATGGGACATAAAAAATTGCAGCACCCACCATTTTATTCACTAGGGTGTCTGCTTTAATAGAATATATAATGTTTGGGGGTTCAAAGTAATTTCTTAGCAAAAAATACTGATTTTTGTCATGTGAACAAAAAGTGTCAGAAAAGGCTTGGTCTTCAGGTGGTTAGAAGAGTGAGTGATGTGTGGCATAAACTTCTAATGCTGGGAATAAAATGCCCCCACCCCCTAAAGCAACCCCTTTTTGAAAAGTAGACAAACCAAACTATTTGCTGAGAAGCATGTTGAGTCAATAGAAGAATTTATTTTTTTACCACAAGTTTTTTGAAAATGACAAAAAAATATATATATTTTTTTACATAAAATTGTCACTTAAAATGATTTATTGCTCACACATGCCATGGGAATATGTGGAATTACTCCCCAAAATACATTCTACTACTTCTCACAAATATGGGGATACCATATGTGGGAGACTTTTTGGCAGCCTAGCCTCATACAGGACCCCAAAATCCAGTAAGCACCTTCAGGCTTTTAAAGGGCTTTATTTCCTCATTACACTTCACTTCCTGACTACCTATCACAGTTTTGGAGGCCCTGAAATGCCAGGATAGCACCAAACCCACCCAAATGACCCCTTTTTGGAAAGTAGACACCCCAAGGAATTTGATAAGAAGCATGGTGAGTATTTTTCAGATCTCATTTGTTGCCACAAGTTTTTGAAAAATGAAGAAAGAAAACAAAAAAAAAATTTTTCTTTTCTTTTTTTATATTTCAAAACCTTGTGAGAAAAAATGAGATCTGCAAAATACTCACCATGCCTCTTTTTAAATTCCTTAGGGTGTCTACTTTCCAAAAAGGGGTCATTTGGAGGGGTTTGGTGCTATCCTGGCATTTCTGGGCCTCCGAAACTGTGATAGGTAATGAGGAAGTGAAATGAGGAAGTTACACACCTTAAGGCTTTCAAAGTGGTCATTGGATTTCAGGCTCCTATATGTAGCTAGGCTCCAAAAAAAGTCTCACACATGTGGTATCCCCATACTCAGCAGAAGTAGCAGCATGTATTTTGGGTGTAATCCCACATATACCCATGGCTTGTGTGAGAAATATATCATTTAAGTTGAAACTTTGTGTAAAAAAAAAATGTTTTTGTCATTTTCTAAAAACTCGTGGAAAAAAATGATTCTTCCATGGACTCAATATACCTCTCAGCAGATAGCTTAGGGTGTCTACTTTCTGCAAAGGGGTCATTTGGGGGTGTTTGTACTGTCCTGGTATTTTAGCACCTAAAGAAATGTAATAAGCAGTCAGAAAGTAAAAGCTGTGTAAATTCCATTATCTATACCATAGTTTGTAGATGCTATAACTTTCACACAAAGCAATAAATATACACTTATTGGGATTTTCATTTTACCAAAAACATGCAGCAGAATACATTTTGGCCTAAATTTATGACACAATTTGAGTTTTTTGGATATTTTTTATGACAGAAATGAGAAAATATTGTTTTTTTTTTTTCTCAAAAATTTTAGTCTTTTTTTGTTTATAGTTGAAAAAATAAAAAGCACACACAGGTGATCAAATACCACCAAAAGAAAGCTTTATTTGTGTGAAAAAAAGGAAGTAAATTTTGTTTGGGTACAGCATTGCATGACTGTGCAGTTACCAGTTGAAATAGTGCAGCGCTGAATAGCAAAAAGAGGCCTGGTCAGGAAGGGGGGTAAATCCTCAGGATGGAAAGCGGTTAAGTAGTATATGTGGAATTGCAATTAAAACAATCATAAACTTCAAAAGATTTCATTTTTATAAAGTGTATCTTTTTTAGCCATGGCTGATCAGGAAAAATGTATATTATGTTAAACATGAGCATTATAGACATGTGGAACAAATATTAACAGTGTTTAATCTGGGTGTCCTAGCTGTGTCTGCATTTACTTGTTCCAATAGGTTTGTGCTGTGCTTCAGTTAACTCCCGGCATGTTAGGCATTATCATAGGCTTTATTTTTTTAAATACAAAGAAACTCGGACCTTTCATTCACCCCTATGGACCGACAAGTGTAAACGGACTTGTGTCCACTTATACCTGCCTACTTCCAATCCAATCCAGTCCTTTAAAAAGAAATGGAAGAGGATCCTAACCCATTTGTATAGGCAAATCAGATTGGAGGGCAGTCAGGTGTAAACAAACAGCAGAGTCTGTTTACACCTAGCCACCCATAAAGCAGAGCGTACTCTGTCCGTGTCCACTCTGCAGAAACTGAGCGGATGTGGATCTATCATTCGCCTGCTCTGCTTTGATCAGCAGAGGATCAGCTGACAGATCCCCTGCTGATCATAATGGAGTCTGCCCTGTGTGAAAGGGCCCTTTGTGTTAAAACTGTCATTCTTAGACATTTTTGTAAATAAAATCACAGATTAAAAAGCTACATGCAAATAACAGTAAAAGGTTAATTGTGCAGTTTGAATATGACACATTTTGAAGCTGTGATCATCACCCCAAGCCAATAATGGTGCACACACTTTGATACTTTTGATCCTTCACTCTTCTCCAACAAGTTTTATGTATTAGTATATTTTTACAAAACGTGATTTATATAGGGCCAAGGTTGTGCAGTGTTTTACAAAATAAGGGAGATAGTACAGTCACAACACAAATCAATAAAGGAGGTTAGGAGGGCCCTGTTCGTCAGAGCTTACAATCTAAAAGGAAGGGACAGCGATACAAAAGGTAATAACTGAGGATTGAGCCAATGTCCGAAATAACAGTTTAGTTATTAGGTGGAGGCTGAATAGGCTTCACTGAGAGACAAATTTCAAGGATCTCCAAAATGTGGACAAAGTAGCAGATAGATGAGAGAGATTGGGGTAGGGAGTTCCAGAGGAAGTGAGAGGCTCTAGAGGTGGTGGTGAGGGAGTTAATGAGCAGGAAGTCTTCGGAGGAGCGAAGAGGACAGTTTGGGTGATATCTTGAGATGAGGTTGGTGATGTAGCTCAGGGCAGAGTTGTGGACGACTTAGTGTATTGTTGTGTGTATTTTGAATTTTATTCGTTGGGTGAGCGTAAATCAATGAACGGAGTAGCAGAGAGGGGTGAATGGTTGCTAAGGTGGCTGCCTGGAGGAAGCATTCATGATGCACGTAATGTAGACCTATAGGCAAAACGTTTTTTGTTTTTTTTCCATTTTGTATGGTGTAAGGGAGGGTTATAACCTTTTTTTTTTTTTTACTGTTATTTGTGTCCTATTGGGAAGATTTCAGTTCAGGAAGTGACAGGAATTCCTTTTAAAGAGAGGGAATCCTTGGTTGTCACCAGAACTAGTGTCCGCATTGGAAGATATCCCCACTTTTCCTGTTCTGGGGACAACTCAATATTGGTGATTTTCCTTTCGCTTTTGGTGAGAACAGTAAACATGATTTAAGCTGGCCATAGATGGAATGAATCTCAGGCAGTTCAGCAGGGACTGACTGAGATTTAATCCATGAATGGGCAGGCTGGTTGTACTGAAGTCAATCCATCAATCAACTTCAGTACATCCAGTCTGTCGGATTCTTTGTGTGCAATTACTGCTGGCAGCAATATCCGCCAACAGTTATTACTGTGTTCTGCAAGCAGGGAAGGTTCCCTTCTAGTAGAACACAATAACTCCGTGGGGGTTTTCCCCATCAACACTGACTGTGTTTGTTAGGGAATCAAGCAATTTTCTTTCCTGCAGCCCATGGTTACAGGAAAGAAAATTTAATTATGTGTGGTTTGTTAAATAGAGAAGGTGATTCTCACTAATGGGACACAGACAGCAATAAAAAACTGGTGGGTGTTCAAATCCCTCTCCACTCTATTCAAAACTAAAAAAAGTTTTGCTTTTAGTTATACTTTAATGGGGGATATCTTGCTTAAAGGTAGGAGAGGGGAAGTTGCAATAATCAGGTGAGAGATAACAGGGGACTGAATTACTAACTTTGTGGTGTTATTGGTAAGAATGGAGAAAATTTTGGAAATGTTATGGGGTTTATCACTCACAAGCTCGCTCAGCTACCCTAGGGTTTGTGGTCTCCCAGTTACAGTTCAGAGGCAGTCTGATAATCACTAAGGATGCTCACAATTTGGAGCATTTCTTGTAATTATCAAACCATGTATGGCAGCTCTTGGGCTAGGCATTATTAAGTAGATGGTGTGCTAATAATAACAGGGTGATGAGGCACCTTTCAGTTCTCAAAAGTGCTCCCAAATCTAGCTGCTGCATACCCCACTCGACCAGAAGAAAAATGTGTCACAACTGCAGAGTCTTGTTCCCTATTCTTCACAGTACAATCCTCTGCTCTTAGATTTTTCAGTATGCTGGAAAATGCCTGCATGGAATAATGAATTCCTCTGACTTTACAGGAATAGAAGCTTGTAATGACTAACTATGCTATTACAACTCTAATATTCTTCACAGTCAGTGTTTGAATTGGATCATTTGTAGCTGTTGGACCAGTCAATGACAACCCTTAATGGCATATCTGTTTATGTGGCCATCTGTAGTCTCCAAGCAGGCCAGAGATGGGCATGTCTTATAGATAACTACTCAATATGAAAGATCTTCTGCTAATCAAACGCAACATACAGTATATCATATTATATATGTATGCGTGTATATATATATATATATATATATATATATATATATATATATATATATAAAAAACTTTTTTTGTTTTAATCCACCATGAGTGATTTTTTTCTATTTTGTCAAGTTTTCGATCCTGTACTGACTGTAGTAATCTCCCCACTCAAATTCTACTGTACATTTGTTCAGACAGCATGGTATATTGTTATAATTTCTTCTTCCTATCTATAGCTTAAGAAGTCATTAAAACAACCAAACCCTGTGGTGCAGATTTCCATACAAGATGTGACCCAGGAGAGCAGGGTGAGTGATGGGCATAGTGGTATTTGAAGTTTGTGTAATTTCTTATTTATTCTTCTTAATTCTATGAAGGTTGTATTTCCTGCTTTTTTTAAACCTAAAATGGGCAATCTAATACGGGATGAGTCATTGCTATGGTGATTCATTGGAGTTCTGCAAACAAGTTTCCCTACAGCTCGCCTGAGGGCTGAAATTGCACAATATGTGAAAAGAAAACTTTAGCTTTGTCTGTAGGTGGGATAGGAGACTGCAAAACTTTAATATACAATATTATAATTATCTGAAAAATATATCATTTATTTTTTCAGTACTGACTATAATAGAAAACTTAAATATGTGTAAAACAACTCTACATTCTCTGCATGTGTGGTACGCCCAGTCCTTCAGCTCCAATGCTATCCCCCTCTCACACTTGCAGGAAATTTCCAGCACCCAAAATGAAAGGCAGGAGTTCCTGTGTAAGTACAGCAGCTGTAGAAGCTGCTGCTGCCACTGGTGCTGTTGAATGAACTGTGTGACACCTTTATCAACTCTGTTCTGAGTGATATAAGGTAACAGTAAGTTAAGTAAGTGGTACTTTTCTTTTTTGGGTTTTTTTTTGTAATCAGAGAGTTTATTGGAGTTTACAATACAGGTACAGAGCATAATGAGACAAAAAAAAAAGAAAACAAATAACAAAAATGAAATCAACAGACGTACCCGGATACATTACATTGTGCAAATTACTTTGCAGGAAAGGGCTTGCGTTATCAGAAATACACATAGATGATAACAAGCATCCAGTGATTTTCTATTAAGATCCGGTACTTTTGTATTTAATATACCGTATTTGCCGGCGTATAAGACGACTTTTTGACCCTTGAAAATCTTCTCAAAAGTCGGGGGTCGTCTTATACGCCGGTACACATGTTAGGGGGGCTGCGGCATTAAGTACAGGGGTTTGCAGGGGCTGACGTCTCTTACCTGGATCCAGTCCCACGACGATCCGGTACAGGAAGCGCGGCGTCTCCTTCAGTTCGGCCACTGGATGTTCGTGCGGCTGCGCGGCTCCGCCTCCTCACCGGTGATTGGCCGCCAGAACTGTAGCTCAGGAAAGGCACACAGGCGGCCAATCACCGGCGAGGGGGCGGAGCCGAGCGGCCCCGCGAAAATTGAGTGCCGGAGCAGCAGGTAAGTGCTCTGTGTAGAGGTGCTGCTGCAACCACATATGCTGGCTGCAGCAGCACCATACGAGAACAGGGTCAGCAAGTCTCAGTGGGAGGAATAGTGCCCCATCATTGGTGTCACTGATACCAATGATGGGGCACTATTCCTCCCACTGATACCAACGATGGGGCACTATTCCTCCCACTGACACCAACGATGGGGCACTATTCCTCCCCCCCACTGACACCAACGATGGGGCACTATTCCCCCCCCCACTGACACCAATGATGGGGCACTATTCCTCCCCCCACTGACACCAATGATGGGGCACTATTCCACCCCTCACTGACAACAATGATGGGACACCATTCCTCCCACTGACACCAATGATGGGGCACTATTCCTGCCACTGATACCAATGATGGGGCACCTATTCCCCCCACTGATACCAATGATGGGGCACTATTCCTCCCACTGATGCCAATGATGGGGCACCATTCCTGCCACTGATACCAATGATGGGGCACCTATTCCCCCCACTAACATACCAATGATGGGGCACTATTCCTCCCACTGATACCAATGATGGGGCACTATTCCTCCCACTGACATCAATGATGGGGCACTATTCCTCCCACTGGTGTGCATTGGAAGAGGGGTAGTCTTATACGGCGAGTATAGCCCAAACACTACATTTTAGCAGGAAAAGTAGGGGGGTCGTCTTATACGCCCAGTCGTCTTATACGCCGGCAAATACGGTATTTCATTCATCAGCAGACTAAGGGGATGAGCTTCAGTCTGCATTTGTTGTCAGTTAAAGCAACCCGACAAGTCAAAAAACTGTTTTACTATTAATAGTTAATAAAAGAGAAATAGACAAAAATGGCAGTAAAATTATAGTTACATTGAGAATGGGAAGGAGGAGTTAAAGCGGAGTTCCAGCTGAAAAAAATTCAGCAGCTACAAAAACTGTAGCTATAGAAAATATAGACACTTACCTGTCCCTCGGGCCAGCGGTGTCCTCAACACGGCTGCTTTCACCGGCCATCTTTTCTCCCCTGTGCCAGCATTTTTAGTGTGGGAACCGGGATGTGACAGCTTGCAGCTTCACAGGCGGTGCCGATTGCGCATGCGCGAGAAGGGCTGCGCTTTGTGAATGGACCCGTAGTCTTCTGGACCTGTCACGTGTCCCAGAAGACTATGGGGAGAGAGAGGGGGATGACAACTTCGCTTCCGATCGCCTAGGCGATCGCAGCGGAAGTGGGAGCGGGTACCTGTCAAATTCGGGTACCCACTCCCCCCCTCTCCCCAGAGGTGGCAATCCTTAATAGGGATTGGGGGACAAAGGCTTAAAGTGGAATTTCCCCTTTTGGGTGGAGCTCCACTTTAATATAGACAGCTTAGGGTAAACTAAATGTATAAAGGGTTAACTAGAGTAAAATTTCAATAAAAAATATTTTAACTAAAAATAAATGTATTTATTTATACATTTTTTTCCATTTTTACTTGTTTTAGACATTTTTTTTTTTTTTGAAATTAAATTTTAATTTTAATAAGCAAACAAGAACTTTTATTTTGTAAGTAACTTTGCACTGCTTTGTGTCAGAATCATAATTACATTGTCATTTTAAGACAAATTATAGAATAACATTTATACTTTTATCTACTGTAACAATAAATATTTTTTAGGCCCTATGCACACAGGATGTTTTGCAGACTCTCCTAGAAGGCTTTCCTCCTGGCATCAGCATTTTGACAGAAAAAAAGCCTGACACTTGTAAAAGTGTCTAAAGCTTTTACAAGGTTTTGTGCACGTTTACAGGCGTCAGGAGCTTGGACATTAATTCATTTAATTGCCCAGAATAATAATTTATTCTGGCTATTAAAATGAGTAAATACTCAAGTGCTAAACATGCCTAGCATTTAGGTGCGTTTAGATGCATTTAGCAGCATCAAGCGTTTTTTTTTTTTCAAAAACTATGCTGCTCCTGGATGCACTGGCAGTGGGTTTTTTACTGCCTCTAAAAGCTCCTGCCACTAAATGCTGCTAAAAGCCTATGTGTTCATGGGCTAACATGCAGGGGATTTTAGAGGTAGGAAAAAACACCCTTAGAATCAGCTACAAAAATGTCCAGTGTACATTAGGCCTAAAACTATAAAAAAAAGTGTTTTAGTTTTGTTACGTTTTGTCTACAAATTGTAAAAAACAATAAAATATTTTTTTGCAAAATTGTATCAGAAAATGAAAAGCTTGTTTATCTTAAAAAAAATTATATCCAGTAATTATTACTTTGTTACCTTAAGTAATGACAAAGTTATTGCCAAATAAACGTGCCTGAATCAGAAATTTAACAATTGCTGTGGACCATAGAGGGTGTACAGGTGTGAGAGCTGTGGTTAAAGGATAAGTTCACTTTTCATAACATGTTACATGTTACACCCATATTCATGTTATGAATAGACCAGCCCCTGCCCCCCCTCCCCCGTACATCCCGTATGGGCCAGCAGATATACTGACAGTTCTGCTGATCGCTGGTGCAATGGTTTACAGGCTCTTGCAACAAAAAATAATAAATGCACATTTTTTTTACCTGCAAATATTAATATTTTTGTAGCAAAAGGTGAATTTATCCTTCAGTGGTCAGATTATGTCCTGCAGCAAGAACTTGGGAGTTGATTTACTGTCACTAATTTACTAAAGACTGTTCATTTTATAATGGGAAGTGGCATGCTGCAATGGAACTTTCAAAATAGCTTGATGAATATGGTGAAATTTCACTTTGCTAAGAATAACCAATCACGTGCAAGGAAAATATAAAAAATGTATTTTTGCTAACACACAGTTGAATGATGGATGTCAGCAGAGCATCACCTCATTCACTAAGCTCGGCGGAAAATTTCCTTGTAAAGTGAAACTTCCCCTGCAAAGTTAATAATCTGTTTTCCTTTAGTAAATGAACCCGTTGTCTATGCATTTTTATGTACAGAAGAAGCATAGATAAAAATGAGTTTATCCTTTATCTGACATGACTCCAAACGCTGTGACTGAATTTACTCTAATCCATTCTTTCTTTCATTCTTTGTTTGTTTCTTTCTCTCTTTCTTTCTCTCTCTCTCTGATTGGCACATTTTAAAAGTATGTGTTTTCTTTACAGCCTGTATACAATACCAACTGCCCTGTATGGGAGCAGCCATTCCGTTTCTTTCTACGTAATCCTAACTCACTGGACCTAGACATACAGGTCAGTTAGCATATTAATGGTCAGATATCTTACTTCTGGATTTAATGCTAGTGCATACAGTAAGACGAGTGTTCTTTCCCAGGTAAAGGATGATGATCGTCAGCAAACCCTAGGCACTTTGTCAGTTCCGCTGGCCCGAATCCTTTCTGCTGACCACCTGACATTAGACCAGTGGTTCCAGCTGGACAACTCTGGGTTGAGGAGCAGGATCTATATGAAGCTTGTCATGAGGGTAATGTTAATCTACAACTAATGTAAAATTCAGAATCCTTTTGTTTGTTTGTCAATAATATTCTATTTAACTCCCTTTTGTCATGGCAGCGTATATAATAAAACAAAGGTTGCTGTGTAGAGCATTACCAAAAACAGATAATGTGATCCTCCTGCGCTTCTAAAAAGTATTGGTGATAAACCTAATATAAGCTGCTAGCACCCAAACCTAAACCTATAGGTGTGAATGCAAAATTCTATAAATAAATTGGTGTAGCGCTAATCTATATAACACTTATGAATAAACATGCATAAATACATATAAAATCTATAAACAAATATAATGATTATCATGTTTATTCATGTGTTATATGGATTAGCGCTATACCAATTTATTTATATAATTGTGTAGAGCATTGCTGTTCTTACTGCAGTGAAAATTGAAAGCAAAACCTTCAGTTGGTGACAGGGAATATGCCTACCCACTCAGGTCTTCATCCAGGCATTACTGTTGTAAATCAGTCCACCAGTCCACCCCGTGCCATTTTGTTGTTAACACAGTGAACTGGTAACTCCTATTGCTTGCCTGTTTATAATGCTGGAAAATGATTCACCAAGCACATGCAATGTAGGCACTTTGCTGTCTTTCACATACAGGATGCCTGATATACCTCTATCACATTAACACTACTTAAGGCAGTGGATGAAGCCATTGTCTGTTGTACTAGCACTTAGAGATTTTTTGGGTGATGTATTTCACTGTATGAAACAAAATAATTCCAACAAAAAGACACAAGTAATTTTCCCAGTGACCAAGAAACAATTTGTTCATTTAGCTCCGTTTTATAAGATAAAATAAAGGCTATGTGTTAACCTTACATGGTGCTAGAGAAAGTATTTACACATTGGTCACTCTTCAGGTGGTTTGATAAACCTTACATGTATGTAGCAATCTGACCATGTGCACAGACAATCTCATTATCCATAGCATAGCATCATAGCTTTCATAGTGCCACATCCAAACATACATAAACAAACACAAGATGTCTTGTACAGTAAATGGTGGCACAACATGAGACAAACCAAAATACTTAAAAATAATACATTATATTATACAAATTTAAAAAACATGATATAAAAAAGCTGTTGATTAACAGTAAATGGAGTATACCCTCAACAACATGGGGATCTCTTCTATATAATATATTCCCTCTAAAAGTACAGCACTTGAATACTCATTACTGTGGATAGTACAGAACACATCCATATAATCAAGATGCTCTTGTCCAATTTTCACAGTCAACACATTTTGCTTGTGTTGTAGCTTCCTCAGGACCATATGAGATTGAGGGAGCGACTGCTATTATCATTAAAAAATAAATACAAATTAGCCTTGTACATATATTTCATAATTAAACTATATCAATATACAGAGATTGGATACGCAGGTAAGGCAGTGAAACCTGTGGTCCAAGGTAACCAGTCTTTGGGTCGAACACAGGGGACCCAGAAATGTCCAACCTGGTGGGGAAACAAAAACAAGAGAGGCAGAACAGCATAAAGTTGTATTTTTTTCTTTTTTACTGTTTAGATTTTGTATTTGGATCCAAATATATCTGTGATTGCAAAAACTGACACTGCCGATCTGGAAGAAGCAGCTTTTGGATCCAGTGTTGACCGGCCACCCCGACCCAGCAAAACCTCTCTTCCTGAGAACTTTGCTACAGAGGTAATTCAACATGTCTATTTGCTATGGCTAAATATCCAGCTAATTTTTAGGTGCCAAATGCCAAATTTATTTTTCTGGCTTCTTTAAGACAAGGCTGATACAGGTGTTTGAGGGAAGTTGAATGGTGTCTGCATACCTGCGGTCTTTAGTGCTCAAGAAGTGTAACTAAAGGCAAAACGTTTTTTTTTTTTTTTATTTTGGATAGAGTAAGGGAGGGTTAAAACCCCTGCCAGGTTTTTTTTTCCCTATCATCTGTGTACCATTGTGAAGATTTCCCTTCACTTCCTGTTACATAGCCAAAATACAAAGTGTGAGAAAATACCTCCAAAGTAAGGGAATCCCTGGTTGTCACCAGGGTCACCAGAAACTATTGTTGCCATTGAAAAATTTCATCTCTATAAGGCCCCTTTCACACTGGACATAATCCCTGTAGATTAACAGGGGATCTATCCATTGTTCCTCTGCTGATCAGAGCAGAGCGAGTGGATGACAGGCCCGTGTCTGATCAGTTTAGGTAGATTGGACATGGACCAAGCCCGCTCTGCTCTATGGGTGGCCGGGAGTAAACAGACTCTATTGTCTATTTACACCTGACTGCCTTTTGATCTGATCATCCTATATGGAAGGGGATGGATCCCTTCTGTGTTTTCTTTTTTTTTTTTTTTTTTTGTCGCAGACTAAATCGGATTGGAGGTCACAAGTCCGATTACACCCACCTATCCATAGGGATGAAGGAAGGGTATGAGCAGGTCCACCTGAAAAAATGGCAGACAGACTGGGATTGCCACCTCATCCCTTTAAACCCAAACACATTAATTACACAGGTTCTGGGGCTGATTAAGGTAGTAATTAAACTCACTTTGTTCTTTATCTTCATTAAATCTGCCTCAGAACCTGTGTAATTAATATGTGTTCGGGTTTAAAGGGATGAAGTAGCAACCCTAAGACAGATCTTTCTTCATGTGAAAGGGTTCTTACTGTTCTGTGACAACCCAAAGTTGGGGATTTGCTTTTACTTTCACTTTCAATGATAATGGTAAACAGGACAAACAGAGAGGGTGAATCTTCCTAAGGCTACGTTCACACTAGCCTTGTTAACAAGCGGCAGACAGGCGTTTGGGAAGCGTTTTTTACCGTTTCCCAAACGACTGGGAAAATTCTGCACATTGCAGCGCATAGTGCTGTTCAAACGGGAGCGTTAGCGTCGCGGCAAAATGGACGCCTCTGGTCGAGTCAGGAGGAGTTGAAGCCTCCTATTCAAGTCTATGGTGTCGTTCCGCAAACACACGGCTGCCGTTTGCGACGCGGTTGTGGGGTGTTTCCGGAGCGTTAACACCATTCAAACTTCATTATAGGCGTTTGTGGGGCATTTTTAACGCTCGGAAAATGCCTAGCAACCACCGCTGAACCGCGAATGCGGCGTTTGCGGAGCGTTAAAAACGCTCCGCAAACACCAGACCAACGCTTGTCAAACGCTATAGGGGCGTTTGGCAAGAGTTGGAAAAACAGTCAAGTGTGAATGAGCCCTAACAGAGGCACAGACAGCAATAAAAACTGCCTGGGGTTCTAATCCCTCTTAACTTTATCCACAACTAAAAAAAAAAATGCCTTTAGTTACACTCTGAAATAAATCATAGGCTATGCTTTGCTAGTACCTGTTATCTATTTGTAAGCCAGCTTGTGTCTTATACAGAGGATAACTAAAAAGAATCTATTCTGCTGAAATGAACAATGCAAAAAAAAAAAAACTGATTTAAATAGCCGACTCCCAACTATCACAACTGCAAAATGCAGGCAGAACTTTTTGAACTGAAGTGATCCATGCCCAGCGCATTGTAGCTGCATATAGACAAAATGACCTTCCCCAGGTGCTCTGTGTGGTTAAGATAACACTTGTTATTTATTGTGTTGTGATGAAACAGAAAACAAATGGTGCTAGTTAACCAGAAAAGCAAGATAAACATGCAGGATCTAAGTTCAGAATACTTATTGCAGATGGAATGCAGAGACCTCTGACAAGAAACAAAACAACCTATTAGATAACTTGTCTCAGGAGTGTTGCAGGGACTGCTGTTTGTTGCATATGTTATCAATTACTAGATTAATACTTTTATTAGGACCTGCTTTATGAGAGTTGAGGTATCTACAGACATAAGAGAACAGCTGCAACACAGGGTAACGGTCTCATGCCTGTGGGCAGCCACACATGCTTCCAGACACAGCTGACAAATCTCAGAGAAAATGTCTGACAGTAACCTATTCTTGTGTATATGGCACAGAAGACTTTCATTCTTGTTTATGGAACCACCAATAAATAGAAAAACCTGAAGGCTGTTGGATCATGCTGAAATATCTGACCAACCTGTGTTATTTATGTCCATCTTATAGGCATGATAATAATTCCCGTGTTTACTAGTAACACACAGAGAAATTAAATAACATACTGCAGAGCTTTTTGCAGAAGGATTCACTTTGCGGTAATATAGCTGCATCATTGTTTATTGAACACTAAAAAAACTGGCTACAATTTTTCCCCCATAGTTGGTGTTTTTGTGTTTTTTGTTTGTAAGTCATGCTATGTATTCAGTCAAGAATTACTGTGTAGCTTAGGGGGAATTCACACATACTGTGGTGACAGGCGTCTTACTGCATTGTCGTTGTCACTGCAAGGACACACAGGAAGCAATTGTTTCCTATGTGTCCCATTCACACTGCAACGCGACCTAGGACTGCTCTGCAGTGTGCTGTGGTTATTGCAGCTCACTGTGCCGACCTGCATGGCCAGGTACAGCACCACAGCACATCGCACTGCTTTACATTGCTATGAAATGAATGAAAGCAGCCGTGTGATACGCTAAACCGTGCACCACGCAGCCCCCCCTACCGCAGCGGTAACATGCTCCAGCAGCTCTGCGTTCCTGTGTGAGTTCAGCCTTAGGTAACAAAGATGAGACCATATTGTCTTAATATGTGTGTGTATTACTTGCTTATTAAGTTTAAAACTCCTAAGAATTAACTTTTCTTATTTGCTCTGTTAAATATAGCACTGAAAGCCCTTTATATTTGTTCAATTAGTACAAACAAAAAATAATAAATAGCTATTGGTCCTACAGGAAATCCAGTGCTGTCCTGTGCACTCTGCAGTGTTATCCCAAGTAATGGAATCAGCCCTGCACAGGTTACCTATGTAAACTACAGAACACCTCCTCCCTATGTTCAGACAATAAGATGGTTGGAAGATGTTCTGTAGTCCTAACATACTTCCAAGGCAATAGTACTGCTCCTTTATAGATACAGTGGGGATAGTGAACATTGTCGACTAGCACGAGAACTATGTTACTGGCAGGATCACCAGGTGAAAATAAAAGGAAATGCAGTCTAAAGGAACGGAGGCTAATATAACCACCACATCTAAGGACTGGTAAACTGAAATGTATTACATTTTGATCTTGCGTTTATCTAAACTCAAGAACAAAATGTAATACATTTCAGTTTACCAGTCCTTAGATCTGGTGGTTATATTAGCCTCCCTTCCTTTAGACTGTATTTCCTTTTTATTTTCACCTTTTTAAATATTCCTTTTATTTTCACACTTTTTAAATATGTTTGCTTTAATGTAAACAGAGAAAACTGTACAACTTTTTCTATTACTTGTCTGTATACAGAATGTGCTTCGTGTATATTTACTTGAAGCTGAAAACCTGATTGCAAAGGATAACTTCATGGGTGGCATGATTAAAGGGAAGTCTGATCCTTATGTAGTGGTACGAGCTGGTGGCAAATCACTACAGACCAGAGTGATCAAGGAGAACTTAAATCCTCGATGGGACCAAGCATTTGAGGTATTGTCTCACACCATTTTTCTTTTTACATACTGGGGAGGTTTGTATCTGTACACGTGATAACATGTTATGCATTGTTCTTGCAGATCCTGGTCACTGATGTCCCTGGACAGGACATTGAGTTTCAAGTGTTTGATAAAGATATTGACAAAGATGATTTCCTTGGAAGGTTAGTACCAGCTTATCCTTGGAAGTGATAAAAAGTGTCACTATGCTAGCACGTAAATTGTATAAGTTTATACCTATCTTGGACTGGATTCAGTGGGATAACGTAATTCCACATGGTTCCACTTTTTTATTTACTTACATTTTTTACTTTTTTTTTTCTTTATTTTTTTTTTAGAAATACTTTTAGAATTTGAGTTTTTTTTTTTTAAAACAAATGAAAACAATTTCTTGGTATTTTTTGTATTATTTGTTATATAGGTTATATAGTTAGTTTTATTCTATTTTGTAATTTCTTCTGCCTATTTCAGGTGTAAAGTTCCAGTGAAGACGGTTCTTAAACAGAAAACCATTGATGAGGTAATGTTTTGTTTTTTTCAAAATCCTATTTTCAGAACTATGAAATAGTAGACAGTCCTCCAGCAACTGTGGTGGATGTTTGACAAGATGTATGATTATATTGCTTTGTATACAGTGGTTTATTTAGGTTTTGTGCTGCCCTAAGCAGAGAGCCTGACATTGACCCCCCTGACCCCCCCCCCCCTTCCCAAGGGAGTCTTCCATTAACACACATCCCCCCCCCCCCCCCCCCCCGAGAGAGAAAGGCCGCACACGTTCACAGTTCCGGACAGACCTGAGAACGAGAGTCAGGCTCTGCATACACCATCAAGCAGCCCACAGCCTCTCTTGGATCCCACCTGGTCCCCATGCCGCAAGTGTCCCTTCTTCCAGGGGGTGGCGCTGCCCCCCCTGAAAAATGCTGCCCTAGGCAAATGCCTTGTTTGCCTTGTGGTAAATACACCCCTGTTTTCATAAATGCTTCCACCTCAGAGGCATTTATGTATGTAATTGTTGCTTATATAATCTGCAGTCTTAACACTTTGGGGTGTGTATTTAAAACTTTACTGTTCAATGTCTTAACACCTTCCCGCCTGGCCTATAGCAGAATGACCGCCAGGCAGGACACTCGCCTTTGTGACTGGGTGTCATATGATATCCTGTCAAAATGAACTGCTCATTCATCACGCAGTGGTGCGATCTGTCACCGGTCACGCGATCTGTCACTGATGACATATCACTACACAGGCCATTGCCAGCGTCATGTGACCTCTGTGACCAATTACAGCAGATCACATGTCAATTGTATACAATGGATGGCTTCCTGTCATGCCATCCATTGTATACAATTGTGTTGTTAGCTGTGACTGGTCAAGGCAGTCACATGATACAGACAGGGCCAATCACAGCCCATCTTTATCATGTGATCAGCTTTGCCCAATCACAGCTAATCACAACAAAATACTGAATGAATCAGTTTCATTAAGTAACGATTGCAAATATCAATGAAATACATTGGTATTAGCAATCATAATGTGTTGAAAAAAAAAAAAAAAATCCTGATCACTTGTCCAGACTAGTTCAATGCTACTATGGTAACATTGTATTGCTTTGGTCACAGTGTGCTGAAAAATAAAATAGTAAAAAAAAGAACAATGTAATAAAAAATTTAAAAAATAGAAACATTTGAAAAAAATACAAATTCAATTATTATTATTACTTTCACCAAAGAAATGTAGCAGAATACATTTTTACCTAAATTTATGATAAAAATGTTATTTATTTGCAAAATTTTATAACAGAAACAAAGAAAGGTGCATTTTTTTTTATTCAAACGTTTCAGGTGTTTTTTGTTTTATTTAGCAATAAAATAAAAAACTCAGTGCTGATTAAATACCACCAAAATAAAGCTCTATTTGTGTGAAAAAAATGATAAAAATTTCATATGGGTACAGTGTTGCATGACTGCGCAATTGTCATTCAAAGTGCGACAGCGCTGAAAGCTGAAAATTCGCCTGGGCAGGAAGGGGGTATAAGTGCCCTGTATTGAAGTGGTTAAGCATTTGCAAATGCATAGCAAATGATCGCTGTGTTGTTTGTAATAGATTGTCAGCTCCATCTAGTGGCCATAATGAACTTTTTTATTGAGGTATTTCAGAAAAATACCACTTCATACACATGATGGATCATACACTCTATCCACCAGATGGAGATGACAGTTATTGGGGATAATTGGAATACAAACAATATCACAAAAGTTCATTGTACTTGTGTGGATTCTTAAAGTGGAATTTAAGCTTAACACTAGCTATGCCCCCACCTATCCTGCCTTACCTGTCTAAAAAAGATGTGCATACTTACCTATTTTTAATCCTCTTCGGTGTGGTCACGTGATCCTCTGTATCAGAGAGTGGCTGCAGGGATGAAGAGCGATTGCTTGAAAACAGTTGGGAATTCCGGGAGCCATGATATCACCCATAGGCTTCCATATACCAGCCACTGTCGGTGCCTTTTTTTATCCCCTAAAAGCCGCCACTATGGGATCACGTGACTGGAGTGGACTAAAAATAGGTAAGTATACACGTCTTTTTTTTTTTTTTTTAACATAGGTTAGGCAGGATAGGTAGTAGAAGGAGGCTGGGAATATTTTTAAGCATAGTCAGTGTTAGGATGGAATTCTACTTTAACCGCTTACCCTCCGCTCTATAGTAGAAGTACTACAGGGCTGCGCAAAGTCATATATATATATATATATATATATGTGCATTTCTGGGTAGGGGGCATGTGCGTGCTGCCCTACCCGCGCCGCCATTGGCGGCTAGGGATGTCATTCATCGTGTCCCAATCGAAGATTCCCCACCGGCACCCGGCGATCGTTGTGTAAAGCTAACGGGGAGAGATCTGGGTGTAAACAACACAGGTCTCTCTCCTGCCAGCAAGGATAAGCAGCATGTCCCTGTAGTAAAACACATACAGCACACAGTTAACCCTTTGTTTCGCCCAAAAGTTAACCCCTTCCTGCCCAATGTCATTAGTACAGTGTCAGTGCTTTTTATTATTATACAGGATTTATATAGCGTGTCAACAGTTTGCTCAGCACTTTACAAAATAAAGGGAGACAATACAGCAACAATACAGTTCAATACAAGAGCGTTAGGAGGGTTCTGCTCCTTGGAGCTTACAATCTAAGCTGATCACTGTATTAGTGTCACTGGGGATGTGAGTGGCAGTTAGTCAGTTCCCACCCAGTGTCAGAATGCCAGCCGCAGTCTCAGTATAAGACTCTGATCACCGCCATTACTAGTATAAAACAAACAAAAAAATTCCAGTATATATACCGCCATTTGTAGATGCTGTAACTTGCACGTAAACCAATTAATTTACATATATTGGGATTTTTTTTTAGCAAAAACATGTAGCAGAATACATTTTGGCCTAAATTTATGAAGAAATTTGATATCTTAAATTTTTTTATTGGATATGTTTTATAGCAAAAAGTCAATAATACAGTTTTTTTTTTTTTTCAAAATTGTCGGTCTTTTTTTGTTTCTAGTGCAAAAAATCAAGGTGGTCAAATACCACCAAAAGAAAGCTCTATTTGTGGGAAAAAAAAGGACATAAATGTAATTTATGTACAGTGTTTCATGACTGGTTGTCAGTTAAAGTAACGCAGCGCCGTATCGCAAAAAATGGCCTGGTCAGAAAAGGGGGTAAAGTAGGGCAAGTGGTTAAGACATATGCATGGTGAATTTTCCAAATATAGACTCCTATTTAAACGCTCAGATCAGTTGGTTATTGATCCCTTGCATTGCCCTATTGTTGTGTTTGATCTTTTGCAGTCATAGCTATTATTAAACTGGAATATGGCCCTTTACAGTTGCAAGAAAAAGTATGTGAACCCCTTGTGATTACGTGGAGTTTTGCATGAATTGGGCATAAAATGTGCTCTGAACGTCATCTAAGTCACAACAATAGAAGAACACAGTCTGCTGAACATAATACTACACAAACATTAGATGTTGCCATGGTTTAATTGCAAATAACATGTAAACATTCACAGTGCAGGAGGAAAAAGTATGTGAACCTTTGGACTTAATAACTGGTTGACCCTCCTTTGGCAGCAATAACCTCAACCAAACGTTTCCTGTAGTTGCAGATCAGACCTGCACAACGATCTGGAGTAATTTTGGACCACTCCTCTTCACAAAACTGTTTCAGTGTAGCAATATTCTTGGGATGTCTGGTGTGAATCGCTCTCTTAAGGTCATGCCACAGCATTTCAATTGGGTTGAGGTCAGGACTCTGACTGGGCCACTGCAGAAGGCGTATTCTGTGCTGTTGCAGCCATTGTTTTGCTGGTTCCTTGTATGCTTTGGGTCATTGTCCTGTTGCATCTCCCATCCTCTGCGGAGCTTCAGTTGGCGGACAGATGGTCGTACATTTTCCTGCAAAATGTCTTGATAAACTCTGGAATTCATTTTCCCATCAATGACAACAATCCGTCCAGGCCCTGAGGCAGCAAAGCAGCCCCAAACCATGATGCTCCCTCCGCCATGTTTTACAGTGGGGATGAGGTTTTGATGTTGGTGTGCTGTGCCTTTTTTTCTCCACACATAGTGTTGTGTGTTCTTCCCAAACAACTCAATCTTGGTTTCATCTGTCCACAGTATATTTTGCCAGTAGTGCTGTGGAACATCCAGGTGCTCTTTTGCAAACTTCAAACGTGCTGCAATATTCTTTTTGGACAGCAATGGCTTCCTCCGTGGTGTGTACCTCCCATGTACTCCATTCTTGTTTAATGTTTTCCTTATTGTAGATGTGTCAACAAAAATGTTAGCATGTGCCAGAGATTTCTGTAGGTCTTTAGCTGACACTCTGGGATTGTTCTTTACCTCATGCAGCATTCTGCGCTGTGCTCTTGCAGTCATTTTTACATGACGACCGCGCCTAGGGAGAGTAGCAACAGTGCTAAACTTTCTCCATTTGTAGACAGTCTGTCTTACCGTGGACACATGAACATCAAGGCTTTTGGAGATACTTTTGTAACCCTTTCCAGCTTCATGCAAGTCAACAATTCTTGATCGTAGGTCTTCTGAGAGCTCTTTTCTGCGAGGCATGGTTCACATCAGACAGTGCTTCTTGAAACCAGTAAACCCAAAACAGGTGTGTGTTTTTTAAGGGCAGGACAGCTGTCAGCAATACATCCAATATCATCACACTGATTGGAGTCAAGGTTGGCTCACTCCTGGCTCCAATTAGCTCTGGGAGAAGTCATTAAGCTAGGGTCTCACATACTTTTTCCTCCCTGCACTGTGAATGTTTACATGTTATGTGCAATTAAACCATGGCAACATCTAATGTTTGTGTAGTATTATGTTCAGCAGACTGTGTTCTTCTATTGTTGTGACTTAGATGACGTTCAGAGCACATTTTATGCCCAATTCATGCAAAACTCCACGTAATCCCAAGGGGTTCACATACTTTTTCTTGCAACTGTATATTTCAATCCCTTTGCTAAAGTT